CAAAGTCCAGAAATTCAGACACAAAGTCAGAATTCAGAAGTCCAGAAATTTAGACACAAATTCAGAATTCAGAAGTCTTGAAATCCAGAGACTCAGAAGACACAAATTCAGAATCCAAACCCAAAAGCGAATAACATCAAGCACATCCAACAACGTGTCGTTCTTCATCAAATTCCACGGTGATCAACAACAAGTACATCCAACGACGTGCCATTCTTCATCAAATTCAACGGTGATTCAAGAATAAGCTCGTGCAGCCCTTGGATCCAACCAACTAAAGGAGATCGAATCAGAGGACTGTCTTATTTGTAAAGAATATTATTACAGAGGATTGTACTCAAATTTTTCAAATGAATAAATTCCTATTTGCTCCATATTTTGTTTTATTTGCATACTTACAAAATTTGTGTGTACAATATAACTCTAGAATTAAGCACACATACAATCCCCATAAACCCTAGATGTAGACACACACATATATATATAATCTCCAGAATATAGCCTGAGATTACACTGATGTACCGAGACCGTCATTGTTAAGGCATTTCTCGACCGCCATGGTTTAGTTGTTTTCCCATGGTTGGGGCTACTTCTCCGATCCATTATCATGTTCCTTGTAGACGCACACATTCTTTATAGAAGAAAAATTATATATTGAAAAAGAAAAAAAATATTGACAAAAAAGCTTTTAATTTTAATTAAGTTGGCAGTCACATCATTGGCCACCTCATTCAAGTTAATTTCATATTTTCATGATATATTATTGGTGATGTTTAGCATTTCTCTTTGGTTCTAATCAAACAAAAATATCTCTTTCTCTTGCATTTTTAATTAGGCAAAACATAATCTAATTTAATGATAGTAGATTTATTAATTAATTGCTAATGTTGGCCTAAAATTTTTTTCCACCAGGTTGCTGAGGAAATATAGAAAGCCAAATAAAATTAGGTTTATAGTTTTGTTTGTTTATTATTGTTATTATTATTATTATTATTATTATTATTATTATTATTATTATTTTCAGTGGTAGCACGTTTTGATACTTCAAAGGTTTATTTTGTGGAAATTATTATATATAAATATATATAGAGACAGAGAAAAATGTTAAAAGGGGACGTTCAAAGTGAACCCGCGTCCTCATATATTGGATCTAATCGATGAGGACGGAAGATCATGAAAATACCCTTTCATATGAGTCAAAGAAACACAAAGCTAATGTGGCTTTAGGTCATACGAAAAGAACTTTGGCTAAACAATAGCAAAAGAACAGAAAGTGATGTACGTTGGTAATTTATAAAATAAGTTGTCTTCATGCATCAAAGAGATGAGAAGAATGGTAGATGGAGATAGTTTGGTATGAATTTAAAATGACTCGGACAAGATTAGTGGTTGATTACGTAACATACAGAATGAAGAACTTTTTCTCTATGGTAAAGTGTTTACTCTATAAATCAATGAAAATATTCCTCCACATTTGAAATCTCTCTAAACATACAAAATATGAAAACATATCACATTATTTGCAAATGTAACAACATAGCAAAAAGAAAATCAAAAGTGAAAGAAAATGAAGATTCAATCAAGAATAAAGTTCATCCTACTAAACAACTCGTTAATTTCCGATCTCATTCACAAAAGCTTTAAAATTCATGTCCGAGGACCCACCTTCCTTCACAGCTTCCTTTGCTAGTTCCTTACATTTCTTGGCATTTCATCCCCTCATTTTTTTCCCTTCCTCTCCATCCCCCATTACCATTTCTATGCACCTCTTAAACTCCTCCCTCTCAACTATTCCTTCTTTATTTACTGTCACCATCACTGCCGTCTTTCAAACATCTATGATCAGCTTTGCATTAGTCCCCTAATCCGTCCACTGCAGAAAAGCCACCATTGGAACCTCAGAAACCAAACTCTCCAACGTAGAATTCCACCCGCAATGCATCACAAAACATCCTAATGATGGGTGTGACAGAACCTCCACTTGAGAACACCATGGCACTATCATCCCTTGCATTTCCAGTTCCTCCATCAAATTTGCGTCATTTTTTATATTCTTACCATTTTGATTAGTTTTTCTTCCCACCCACAAGAACGGCCTTTGGCTTTCCAACAACCCATGTGCCATCTCTTCCGTTTGTTTCTTTGAAAACACAGAAATGCTTCCGAATGACAAATAAACAATAGAGGACTGTGGCTTTGAGTTCAACCATTCTATATACTCTGCCGAGGACTTCTGAAACATATCACCTCTAAATGAAGTATCAGATGGATCTTTTCTGTCCAAAAATGCTGATGGGATTAATGGCCTAATTGGAATGACGTTGAGTTTTTTGATGGCTGATAGAGTATCGGATTCCAATGCCTCGAATGTATTTAATGGTACTTGTGGATTTGCTTGGGAATCAAGTCTGTTACCGTGCTTTTTGAATGCTATGATTCCAAAATTGAAGTAGTCTGTAGGGAGGAAGGAAGGTCGCGGTAAGTGAGTAATGGAAGTCCTGGGAGTTCAATGGGACAAAAGGGGTCACAACTATTTTTAGTAATAACATTGTGGGAGTCATTTATTAAAGGATGACATGGCATATTGACAAGTTAAAACGACGCTAACCAAATCTACCGTGGCAATTTGAAAAGTCAAAAGTCTCAAGGGACCAATCTTCGAGCACCCTAAGCCCTGGGCCCATCAAGCCTCGAGGAATCAATCTTCGAGCACCCTAAGTCCTAGTTTCGCTCCAGGCCCACCAAGCCTCGAAAGACCAACCTTCGAGTACCTTAAGCCCTGGCTTCGCTCCAAGCCTACCAAGCCTCGAAGGATCAAACTTCGAGCACCCTAAGCCTTGGCATCGCTCTAGGCCCACCAAGCCTCGAAAGATCAAACTTCGAGCACCCTAAGCCCGGCTTCGCTCTAGGCCCACCAAGCCTCAAAAGACCAACCTTCGAGAACCCTAAGCCCTGGCTTCGCTCCAGGCCCACAAAGCCTCGAAGGATCAAACTTCGAGCACCCTAAGCTCTGGCATTGCTCCAGGCCCATTAAGCCTCGAGGACCTAATTCTCGAGCACCCTAAACCCTGGCATCACTCCAGACCCATCAAGCCTCGAAGGATCAAACTTCGAGCACCCTGCATCGCTCCAGGCCCACCAAGTCTCGAAAGATCAAACTTCGAGCACCCTAAGCCCTGGCATCGCTCCAGGCTCACCAAGTCTCGAAAGATCAAACTTCGAGCATCCTAAGCCCTGGCATCGCTCCAAGCTCACCAAGTCTCGAAAGATCAAACTTCAAGCACCCTAAACCCTGGCATCGCTGCAGGCCCATCAAGCCTCGATAATCCAATCCTCGAGCACCATAAGCCCTGGCATTGCGCCAGGCAATATCACTTTGAAGGACTGGAGCTTATAAGATTGCGTATAGCACGAAACGGAGGTAGGGCCTTCACAGCTATAGGAGATCTATGTTTAGGAAACTTAGAAGGATCTTGGATTGGCGGATGAGAAATCAAGAGGTACATTCGCTCTCAGTAAGGCCCAATTAACAAGATGATGGGATTATACATGTTATGATGGCAAACCTTAAAATCACATTCAATGTTGTGTCAGGCTTGACCAACCGATGGCCAAGCAATATTTAATGCCCTTGATTTAGGGAGAAGTGATATGACAATATAGGATAAGGCTCAAGGAAAGGATTAGACCCCTCAGACTCCTAAATCTCCAAGATTACCTATGTAATCCAGATTGGGAGTAATGTATGCAAAGAGCCATGCACAGAGGGACCCATTGGGTAATAACCAATGGAATCCGGGCCTATAAATAGTACTATCTTATGAAGGAATAAACAACCCAAAAAAGAATAAGCTGTCATTATATTGTATAATCACCCTACCACCATCTTAATCTTGATAGTTGGTCTTCTTCTCCTCCTCCTACACTAAGCATTTCCTCTGTTTTCCTTCGTATTTGTATTTCTGATATCACCATTATATTATTATATTACTTGCTCAAAAACGAACCCCTACAAACATCAGTATACCCTTTGAAATAATAGTAGTAAATGTTCAAAACAGTTGCTGGTTGGATCCAAAGAAATGTGGAAGGGATGTGATGGTCATATGCCATTTTTGCTACCCATGGTATAAAATTGGTGTAGACCACACGTGAAAGGGATATTGGAACAGAAAAAGTAGGAAAGATATAATGTTTCCATTATAAACTTATAATTTTATTGTTTATACACAATCCGACATGCCAAATTCTAGACTGAGTTACAAATGCCACCAACAAATATATAGTAAATCCAAATAAATATATAAAAAGAATGAACCAATCAAAAGCATGATCTTTTATTCAAATACACCATTTTCATTTTCATTTTCATGAAAAAAGTCCACAGTTACTAATGACCATCTCCAAGTCCATCCACAAAAGCCTTAAGATTCATATCCAATGATCCACCATCTGTCATAGCTTCCCGTGCCATTTCCTTCCATTTTTTAGCATTTCCTCTCATTTCTCCCCCCCTCTCCCATCACCATTTCTTTATACCTCCTAATCTCCTCCCTTTCCAATATTCTTTCTTCATTTGGCACTACTCTCTCCCCCATCTTCCAAACATCTTGGAGAAGCTTTGCAATCGTCATTTGATCCGTAAACTGTGGAAAGCCCACCATTGGAACTCCGGAAACCAAACTTTCCATCGAAGAATTACATCCACAGTGAATGAAAAAGCATCCCAATGATGGGTGCGATAGAACCTCCAATTGAGAACACCATGGCACTATCAATCCTTCTTGTCTCAATTCTTCTAAGAAACTCAATTTATCTTCTTCTCTCACGCCATTTCCTTTTTCCCTCATCACCTACATAAATGGACTACGGCTTTCCAACAATCCGCGTGCAATGTCCTCCATTTGTTACTTCGACAACACAATTGTGCTTCTAAATGCTACGTAAACAATGGATGATTCTGGCTTCGAATTTAACCACTCAACATAACCATGTGATTGTTAAAAGAGGTATCCTCTAAAGGAAGCATCAAAATGTATTATTAAAGGTCCTATTGGGATCAAATTGTGTTTTTCCATAGCTCTTAAGGCATCTAGCTCTATTGCTTCAAATGTGTTCACTAGTATTTTTGGGTTGGTTTCGGCATTAAGCACTTCAAGCTGCTCTTTAAATTCTGGAATTGCCCAACTGTATTTGTCGGAATGTGGAGGGACCAGAAAGGAGGGAAGATCACAGTTAGCGAGCAATGGCAAACCTGGTAACTGAATAAAACTTAAAGGGTCATTGCCATTTTTTCTAATGGCATCACCGTAGCCATTGAAGTAATAGTGGTAGATATCAAAAACCATGACTGGTTTAATCCACAGAAGTGCGGATGGGATGTGATGGGCAAGAGCAACTTCAGCAGCCCACGGTTGATTCATATTGTAAGCCAAACAAAATATTGGGTAGCCTTCTTCGTCACCGGCCTTGATGAGTTCTGCCTTGTCTTTGGAACCGCGAATTCTAAGCTCAGACCAGAAATGGTCGTGGTTGTCTCCTTCTTTGAGCCCATCATCATAACCATCGGAGAAGGCAGATAAGGATAAGCCTTTTGGGATTATGCTGTTGGATTTGGTGATGCGACGGTGGGCAGAGAGACTTATGATAATGGTGACCTTAACACCCATTTGTACGAGGTTCTTGGCAAATTGGATTGACGGATTGATGTCACCTTGCGACAGAAAACTTAGAAGGAGAATGTGGCAAGCCACCATGGTAAAAGAAAGAGATATAATGGGATAAAGATGATTACTCAAACGCAAAAGGTTGTGTTTGTGTTTCAAAATGAATTAGGAAAAGCTTTGTATCTGAAAATACTGTGGGATGTGGTGGTTTATATGTCTGTAAGACCTGCGAGAAGAAAAGAAAAAATAAAGTAGTGCTTGAATAGTCGTGTTTGTGATGCATAACATGGCAACATTTTGAGATAAGACCATCTCCAATGCTAAAAGTCATTTTCACATGTCAAATCTATATTTTGACAGGTGTTACATTGTCAAAATACTACATTTTATCAATTCTGCTCCAATGGTGCATTTCATGCAAAATGCTATTTTTTTTACACAACCATCATTATTTTTCAACTACCATTCCCACCATTTATATTTACATCAGTAATATTAATATTAGGCACATTCTAAGTCAAGTTGTAGACATTAGAAGGAAACTAAAATTAAACCTAATTAAAAAGAAGCAAAAATCTAAAATATCTGGTAAAAAAAAAAAAAGAAATAAGCCCATGACCTATATAATTAACTATATAATTTATATATATATATATATATATATATATATATATATATATATATATATATATATATAACTATATAATTTATAGGCCCATGACCTAGGAAAAAATATAGTATATATTTAGGCAAATCATTTCAGCCTCCCTAATCGCCTCCATTTCTATTCTCGTTCTCATTGAACTTGCCCCCTCTCTCGGCCATATCATTTCAGATTGTTCAAAAAATCAAAACCCATATCTTTCAGTTTCCATCGCCCGCTGTTCCAGTTTGGGTTCGCCTTTCGCGCTTCAGTCGCTGTCTCTCAACTCTCAAGCTTGCCCCCCTCTCTCTCTGCAACTACTAACTTGTATGTATGGGTTCTGTTTTAATTTTTTTCCTGTAATTCTATTTTTATGATCAAGGTCTGTAATTCTATTTTTTTTTTTCTGTAATCATGGTCTGTAATTCTTGTTTTGTAAACTAAATCCTATTTGGTGAAATTTTTTATGATCTTTTTAAAATATATAGCTATTTCAGAGAGAGAGAGGGGGGGTTTCAGATCTCTCTCTCTGCTCTCTCTCTCTAGAGAGAGAGAGAGATCTGAAACCCCCCCTCTCTCTCTCTGAAATAGCTAGTGCTATTTCTTGAATTACAATTGGTATCAATTTTGACAAAGTTAAAATTTGGCGGACAATATATAGAGAGAGAGAGATCTGAAACCCCCCCTCTCTCTCTCTGAAATAGCTAGTGCTATTTCTTGAATTACAATTGGTATCAATTTTGACAAAGTTAAAATTTGGCTGACAATATAGCTTTGCATTAATAGCTCCTTTTCAAGCCTACTTGTTATATTTTAAAAATAGTATGCAATATAGTATTGCATTGGAGATACTCTAATACATCAACTTGGTCCCCAAGTCCAAGAGAGCTTTGACCCTGGACTTAGTATTTACCTTGTTTGATAAGATAATGGCTCAGCTTGTATCTTTTGCTAAGTAATGGCAAGTAAACTTTCACGGGTGGTTTAGTATTAAGAAGTCTCGAAAGGCGAGTCACAAACTCTTACGTCGTGAGTTTAATTCTTACTAGGTACAAAAACACTGAGTTTAAATGATACATATAATTTGAAAATAACTGCACATATTCGAGTTTTACATTGGTTTGATCCCGTGGTTAAAAGGATTTTCATTTCTAAAAATAATAATAATAATAATAATAATAAATACAAAGTTATCGTGGTATGAGAATTTCTTATTTTGGACTCAATTATTTTATGGTCTCAGTACCATTAATCCCGGGCGGATCAAGACTAAACGCCATCAGAAAATGCATGGTGAAACTTTGTTTGGAATGATTACGTTCTACTTATCTTGTATAGAACTTGTAGTCTGAAGTGACTTTGGTTGATGAATGCAGTACTGCGTGTTGACGAGTCCTCTACCATGGCAACATTTTCAGTTATTACTATGTGTGTGGTGCATAACATGACAGCATTTCGAGGTAAACATCAAAACTTGGTAGCCGCCAAATCCTAAAGCTTGGACCCTCAACTTGGTGGACCTACGTTTGGTTAGATTATAGACATCAATAGACGTGTATTAATAATTATATACTTATTAAAAACATAATATATATATATATATATATAATTATTATATGATTACGATTCCGGTTTCAATTCCAATTTTAAAAATAGTTGAGAATGATTTCAGTTCCTAATAATTTTACCGGTTCTTTGTACACCCTTACAAATCATAGTCTAATTTAATGATAGTAGATTGATTAATTGCTAATGTTTTCAATGCCTACAATTGTTTCCACTTTTGTTTATATGTTTCTGAGAAACTATATATATAGAAAGCAGCAGAAAATTGGGTTTATAGTCTTGTTTTTTATTTATTATTATTATTTTTTAATATTTTTTCAGTGGCCAGCATGTTTTGGAAACTCTAAAGGTTTATTTTGTGGAAATTATTATATATAAATAAATATATAAATATATAGAAAAATGTTAAGAGGAGAAATTCAAAGTGAACTCACGTGTTCGTCTACTGAATTCAGTGAATGAGGATATCCTCTTATATAAGCTCATCCACTCATTCATACATATATATATATATATATATGAAAAGCTAACGTGATTTTAGGTCAGAGGAAAAGGACTTTGGCTAAACATTAGCAAAAAGACAGAAAGTGATGATGGTAATTTATAAAATAAGTTGTCTTCATACGTCAAAGACATGAGAGGAATGGTAGAAGGTTTGTTATTATTATTATTATTATTATTATTATTATTTCAGTGCATGGCCAGCACATTCTCGATACTTAATTCAGGTTTATTTTGTGGAAATTATTAAACATAAATATATATATATAGGGAGAGAAAAATGTTAAGAGGGGACGTTCAAAGTGAACCCGCATCTTCATTATTTATTGGATCTAATGAATGAGGACGAAAAATTATGAGAATACCCTTTCATATAAGTGCGCGCGCACGCGCGTGTGTATATATATAAAACAAAGAAACACAAAGCTAATGTGACTTTAGGTGATACGAAAAGGACTTTGGCTAAACATTAGCAAAAGAACAGAAAGTGATGTTGTCATACATCAAAGAGATGAGAGGAATGGTAGATGGAGATAGTTTGGTATGAATTTAAAATGACTCAGACAGGACTTGTGGTTGATTACATAACATACATTGAATAAAGAACTTTTTCTCTATGGCAAAGTGTTTACTCTATAAATCACTGAAAATTTTCCTTGCTTAATTGTTAGGATATGACCTCTTTGTAAACTTACTGTCATTAATTTTAGTTTTCTGCAGTTTATGCTCATCATCTAACAGAAGAATTGTGCACATCATCAACTGGTCTACATAACAAGGTTCTCTTTACCTCCACATTTGAAATCTCTCTATACATACAAAATATGAAAAATGAAGCCAATTCGTATTACAAACACACCCTGATGATTTAATTGATTTTAAAAAGCATACCAAATACATCACCTTTTATAGGCACGTATCACATTATTTCTGTAAATGTAACAACATAGCAAAACGAAAATCAAAAGTGAAAGAAAATGAAGATTCAATCAAGAACAAAGTTCATCCTACTAATTAACAACTTGTTAATTTCCGATCTCACCGACAAAAGCTTTAAGATTTATGTCCGAGGACCCACCTTCCTTCACAGCTTCCTTTGCCAGTTCCTTCCATTTCTTGGCATTTCCCCTCATTTCTTTCCCTTCCTCTCCATCCCCCATCACCATTTCTATGCACCTCTTAAACTCCTCCCTCTCAACTATTCCTTCTTCATTTACTGTCACCCTCACTGCCGTCTTCCAAACATCTGTGATCAGCTTTGCGTTAGTCCCCTGATCTGTCCACTGCGGAAAAGCCACCACTGGAACCCCAGAAACCAAACTCTCCAGCGTAGAATTCCACCCGCAATGCGTCACAAAACATCCCAATGATGGGTGTGACAGAACCTCCACTTGAGAACACCATGGCACTATCATCCCTTGCTTTTCTAATTCCTCCATGAAACTTACTTCGTTTTCTATATTCTTACCATTTTGATCAGTTTCTCTTATCACCCACAAGAACGGCCTTTGGCTTTCCAACAACCCATGCGCCATCTCTTCCATTTGTTTCTTCGAGAGCACTGAAAGGCTTCCGAATGATGCATAAACAACAGAGGACTCTGGCTTCGAGTTCAACCATTCTACATATTCGGTCGAGTTCTGAAACATATCACCTCCAAATGAAGTATCAGATGGATCTTTTCCATCCAAAAAAGCTGATGGGATTAATGGCCCAATTGGAATCATGTTGAGCTTCTTGATAGCTCGTAGAGCATCGGATTCCAATGCGTCGAATGTATTTACTAATACTTGTGGATTTTTTTGGGCATCAAGCATGTCTAGGTGCTTTTCACATGCTATGATCCAAAAATTGTAGTAGTCTGTAGGGAGTAGAAAGGAAGGAAGGTCACGGCGAGTGAGCAATGGAAGTCCCGGGAGTTCAATGGGACAAAAGGGGTCACAGCTATTTTTAGTAATAACATCACCGTAGCCATTGAAATAATAGTAGTAAATGTCTAAAACAGTTGCTGGTTGGATCCAAAGAAGTGTGGAAGGGATGTGATGGTCATGTGCCACTTCTGCTACCCATGGCATAAAAGTGGTGTACACCACGCGTGAGACGGCGTGGCCTCCGTCTGCGCTCGCATTGATTAGATTCGCGACGGCTTGACAACTGTGAATTCGAAATGCAGACGAGAAGCTCTCTATTTCATGAATATCTTCAAAGCCGTTGTCGTAGCCATCAGAGAAGGGGGCGAGGGTTAAAGCTTGTGGGATTGTGGTGGTTTTGTTCATGCGGCGGATGGCGGAGAGGCTAGTGGTAAAGGTAACTTTGACACCCATTGCCACTAGGTTCTTGGCGAATTGGAGGCACGGATTGATGAGGCCTTGTCCTGGGACAGTTACCAGAAGAATGTGACTGTTGTCCATACCGGTGGTGGTGGTGGTGGTGGTGGTGTATTAGTCAATGCAAATTGCAGGATTTGAAGTGCGGTATGTGGTTGTGGTTTGAAGTCTTGGGGTTTGTCCGTGCATTTTCTTAAACTTGCCAAGTTTTGTCTACACGTCATTCCATGCAAAATCAACCAATTTTTCAATTGAGCCGGCTTCAGTTTTGGAGTTTTGTCCTTTTGTTGATGCCACACATAAAACTGTTTTGTCACTATAGTCTTGTTTTATCCCTGACTCATATTCTTATTGTGGTCATTTTTCAAACTATTGAGACATTTGTTCGGAATTTTTTATTAATAAATTTAATTATTCGATCCAAATATTATAACTTTAATAAATAAACTTAGATGTGAATATCATAAATCTTTCAATTATATGAATAACAAGATTATAGCTCGTAAATTTTTGTCTTTCAATAATTTATCTAATGCCATGAATTAATACTTTGGAGGACTGCATTGATATTATAATATCTTTAAGCTTGGCACCAACACATATTCAAAGCAGTACCTAGCTGAACACAGATCTCCTCTCATTAGCAAACATGACTTTCCTATGTAAATTTATTGAGTTAGACAAAAAAAAAAAATAATAAATAAATAAATCTAATGTTATTTAATATGTGCATATAAAATTCTTAACATTTGAAAGTATGTGCAAATTACTTCCCAATAGTGTTAATTTTGATTAAATATATATATATAAGCCCCAAAATATTCTTAATATATCCTTAAAAACTGAAATTACTGGTTTTTTTAATTTTTGTCTTAAAGATATTTTAGGTATTTCAATCTTCCAATTAACAAAATGTCTTTATTTGCTCAATTTGACAAATGTAATAATTTGTTGAACAGCAAGAGAATATTTGCACATTTAAGAATTTTTTTTGCACTTTACCTAATAAAATATAACTTTAAAGTAAAAATCTAATTAAGATAGGAAAACGGAGTTTTTATTTTTCTTTCTTTTTGTGAAAAAAAAAAACGACCCTCCCGGAATGTTTTAGCTCCACTGAAGATTTTACATTGAAACTTTCTGCAATTGATAAAAAAAATTTGTTATTAGTCGTTAACAAAATTTAATTTTTAGGATCTCTCCCTACGATGAACAGTCCTCTGCATAAATAATTGTCCCAAGTATGTCATTGGCAAACGCCTTTGTAGCCAAATGGTAGGTTTTTTCAGAGTTCGGTTTCGAGCCTTCGCACTCTCCTCCCTACTAGGGATGACAAAAATCTCTACCTCAGCGGATCCCGTCCTGCCTCGCCCCACCCTGTTTGGAATAATTTTGGAGAACCGATTATGCAAATGGAGACGAAAATAGGGGGATGCTTTGAAGAACCCAGTGGGTTTTGGGGTGTTTTTGGGGAAGCCCCACCCCGCCCCACCCCGCCCCGAATATACCACAAATTTACTAAATTACTATAGTATATTATTAAAATAAGTTAAGCATATGCAAAAAAATTGTTTCATGTCTTAACTTTTGTGGCAATATAGATAGGAAGAAACCCTAGGCCTCATTTCGTTTCATGTCTTAAGCTTTGTGGAAAAACAAGAGCTACAAGTAGGGATGGCAAAAATTCCCACCCCAATGGGGCCTCGCCTCGTTTGTAAATGGGGAAGTGGGTGGTGGTGAATTTTGGGACGGTTATGAGGGTGAAAAAATTATATAGGAATGGAGATGGGGAATGAGATCCCTGTCCCAAATTACCTCATTGTCGTTGCTACTTCCCATTGACCGTTGACATTATGCCAGGTAAACGAAAAAAAAACAAAAAAAGGAAACTGCTACAATCCCAAAAAACATCCCACTGTAACTAAGTTTGGTTGTTATGCCATGTAAACAAAAAACAAAAAAAGGAAACTGCTACAATCCCAAAATAACATCCCACTGTAACAAAGTTTGATTGTTCATGCTAGCTAAGAGATAACACAAATCTGAAACCGAACGACAATCCCATGTATTTTAGGAATTTTTAAACTGAAATTGGTGACAACAATATAAAGAAGGTAACAGATTTATATTAACAATAATTTATTCTATAAAGCAGCTTAATTTATTTTATAATTATTTAGACCGAAATTAACCCGTATTAGTCCAATGTTTTGCTGATGATAAAGTAGTAGCAGTAAAAATAAATAAATAAATAAATAAAAAAGGTGAATGGGAATTGCTAGATTTAATTATACCAAGTTTATCAAATCATGGAGCATATAGTTTGAAGAAAGAAATGATCAAAGGAAACACTTTTACATTTCGCAAAATCTAATGATCAGTTTGTAGCTTCTGCATTTTTTTTTTCTGTAAAAATTTTTAAAAGATTTTAATAACATTTCAGTGGTTTATATAAAACACGAATTGATTATTTTAAAATAAAAGAGTGAACTGGGATGCATATAAATATTATAAGATAATTTATGGTGAAAGTCTAACAAATCTAACATAAGTTTTTGTTGCTTCAAATGATAGGAAGGTAAAATTCGCAAGTCCGTACACAAAGCAAATAATAATGAGTGTGCCTTGTGGGAGGCTATGGCAATGTAACTCTAAAATTTATCCACTAATCATTGGATTATCAAGTCACATGATAACTTGTTGATTTCGAAACTGACTTATAAAAATATTAGGTTATCAAGTCATGCAATACATAGTTTTCGAAACCGATATTTAAAATGAGATAATTGTGAGACACAATTCTCGAAATTGACATTTAAAATAGAACAATTGTGGGTCACACTTTCTGAAACCCATATTTAAAATAGGACCGAAACCGATTTTTAAAATCGGACGAGGGAGGGAGTAATAAGTGTAATCTTCATTTTCTTCAATAAATTTTTATTTTTTTTTAATAATACTAATAATTTTCTATTCCCGCCAAAGCTTATTATTGGCGCCACGAATTCCCTTCTACATTCCTTCCCGCGAAACTCTCTCTCCGATGCACACACGCACTCTCCACCCCCACCAAAGCCCTAATCTCAGAGATCCAAAGCAGAAGAAAGCCATGGAAGCAACTATTCTCTCAAAGAAGCGGAAGCATTTTTGGCCGTCTCGGATAGTCCTTGTAGCAAACTCAGAGCGTTGAACCAACAAGAAGCCTCCCAACATGTCTTGCATCTCGATCAAAGATCTCCGCGCCAGGAGGGTCCTCTCCGGCCTCGAATATCGATGACTGTTGCTCAAAGTTTTTCGAAAATTGAATTCACTGGAAAGTTCGATTACATAAACCTGTCTGATAGTACTGGAGAAGTGGAGAAATTCGATCTAGGGTTTTCTTGTATGGATCAGAATTGAATCAATCACAATCCTAATTTGCAACCAATGGTGAATGGTGAAAATAGGAAGCCGGTGGATATTGAAGAAATTGACGAATTCGAAGAGGGATTTACTTGCAAATCCTCAAGAAATTGATGATTTTGAAGAGGGTTTAATTGCAAATCTGAGGATCTAAATGTGCTAGACCTTAAATTGCCTAGAACAGAGATGGGAATCGCATCGTGTGATGAGAAACAGAGAAGTGATGAAGAAGGCATTGAATTATGTGCTCAGATGGGATCAGAGGTGAATGAAAATGGGGAGTAAGAGCAGAAAAGGGCAAGACTTCAAATTGAAGTGTTGCCAGAAACAAGCGAAAGATCGACAGGAGAAATGACTCCATTCCTAAGATTAAGCTGGTAATGAAATCCCAATCTCTCAATTTGTTAATTCTTGTTATTTCTATGAAGAGCAAAACACTGACATGTTTATTAGGTCTTCGCATGTGTATATGCATCTTGTATGATAAGGCAGACAACGGTCTCCAAGTCCATAATTTTATTAGGTCTTTGCATGTGTCATATTTCCATTATAAACTACTCCATAATTTTACAAATGCTAGACTGAGTTAGCAATGTCACCAACAAAGAAAAAGTAAATCGAAATAAATTAGTAAAAAGAATGAACCAATCAAAAGCATGATCATTTATTCCATTTACACCATTTTCAATTTCATGAATAATGTTCACTTCTACTGACGACAATCTCCAAGTCCATCCGCAAAAGCCTTAAGATTCATATCCAATGATCCATCATCCTTCGTAGCTTCCCATGCCAATTCCTTCCATTTCTTTGTGTTTCCTCTCATTTCTCTTTCCCTCTCTCTTCCTCCCATCACCATTTTCTGTCCACAATTCCTTCTTCATTTGCCACTACTCTTACCCCCATCTTCCAAACATATTCGATAAGCTTTGCAATTGCCATCTGATCTGTAATTTGTGGAAATCCCACCATTGGAACACCAGAAGCCAAACTCTCCAGTGAAGAATTCCACCCACAGTGAGTGAAAAAACATCCCAATGATGGGTGTGATAGAACTTCCACTTGAGAACACCATGGCACTATTAATCCTTCTTGTCCCAATTCTTCTAAGAAACTCAATTTATCTTCTTCTCCCTCACCATTTTCTTTTGCATCACCCACATAAATGGCCTATGGCTTTCCAACAACCCGCGTGCAATCTCCTCCATTTGTTGCTTTGACAACACAAATACGCTTCCAAATGATACGTAAACAACAGATGATTTGGGCTTTTGAGTTTAACCACTCAACATAACCATGTGATTGTTGAAAAAGGTCTCCTCTAAAGGAATCATTCGAGGGGATTATTAAAGGTCCTATTGGGATCAAATTGTGCTTTTTCATAGCTCTTAAGCCCTCCAGCTCTACTGCATCGAATGTGTTCACCAATATTTTTGGGTTGGTTTCGGCAATAAACATGTCTAATTGATCTTTAAATGCCAAAATTGCCCAACTGTATTTATCAGAGTGTGGAGGGACTAGAAAGGAGGGAAGATCACGGCTAGCGAGCAATGGCAAGCCCGGTAACTGAATATAGAGCTCGAAGGGTCATTGCCATTTTTTCTATTGGTATCACCATAGCCATTGAGGTAATAGTAGTAGATGTTGAAAACTGTTACTGGTTGAATCCATAGAAGTGCGCATGTGCGGATGGGATGTGATTGGCATGAGCAACTTCAGAAGCCCGTGGTTGAAGCATATTGTAGGCCAAACAAGTTATTGGGTAGCCTTCTTCATCATATTGGCCAAACAAGCATATTGTAGGCCACCATTCCTTCTTCATTTACATGTGTGAGGATTTGAGCTAGACCTTTGAGAAGAAAAGAAAAAAAAAATGTATCTTGAATAGTCATTTTTATTATCCATAACATGGCTTCATTTTGAGGTAATACATCAAAACTTGATCGCCAAGTCCTAAAGAACTTTGACCTTCTCGACTTATACAACTCGAGATGTTAGAGGGCATCTGTTTCAAGATCCTCGCCTCTTTTTTCCAGTGGATAATGAAAGACAGCGAGATCTTTAGAAAGATAAAGCAACTTTTTCTTTTGATGCACTTAGTCTTTACCCTTCTTTGGCCCTCGACTTGGTATACCCTGTTTGGTAAGATTATGACTTATCTAGTATAAAACTTGTGGTCTGAAGTGACTTTGGAATTTGGATGCAGTGCATATTGACCAAGTCCAAGACATGGCAACATTTTCAGTTATTAATTTAGCAAATTCTTGTGCTGATAAAGTGTCTTGAATAGTCGTGTTTGCCATGCATAACATGACAAACATTTTAAGGTAACACATCAAAACTTGGTTGGCAAGTCTTAGAAAGGTTTGATCCTCGACTTGGTATACCTTGTTTGGTAAGATTATGACTTAAATTGTATAAAACTTGTGGTCTGGAGTGACTTTGGAATTTGGATGCAGTTTTATTACTATTGGCATTAAACTATTTATTTCTTTGACAATACTCAAATCACCTTCAGTTACTTCTTGAGAGGCACTAAGGTTTTGCGTGAGAATCCTTTTGCTAATATTCTGATAAGTCTATATTATTGTAATATTGTGTGGACGTATTCCTGTTGTTGAGTAAATCATGTTAGAACTTGTTGTTGAGTGAATTAGGTTAGAACTTTCATGTGTTTTGGGGTTAATAGTACAATCATTACTTTTCATGGTGAGGCTCCGGGGCCGAAGCCTTTTCCACTAGGCCAACCCCTTGGCGTTATCTTGATTGCAAAATTTTGAACCATAATTAATAAAGAAATGAATTTTTTATTTTGAAATTATTATATATATACATTTATATATATATATATATTTATATATTAGATGGTGAGAATATCCGAGAGGTGAAGGCTTAGATGAGGCCAGTGAAAACTATAGTTCTTGGTAGAACTAATTGATCTTCATAAGAGTGAGTGTGTGTGTGTGTGTGGTAGAGAGAGAAGGGGATGACAAATGGGGGAATGAGCGAGAAAACCAAAGAAGGGAGTTAGAGAAAGTCGATTAGGGCCCAAAATCCAGTGGGGACAGATATATGTACTGGGGTTTTGTCAAATTTTAAGGGGAATTTTTTTAGCATTTTAATAAAATTTTGTGTATGTTATATAATTAAAAATAAATAAAAAATCAGTGGGGACGGAAGACTCCACTCAGCACGTGCTTGGTTGGAACCACAAAATTATACAAATTTACGTAAATCAATCATTTCTCAGAGAATGAGTAAATTATGTTTTATACGCATATTTATTTATCTTTTAAAAAATAAGAAAACAATTAGCTTTAGTTATCAACAATGGTAATAAGATTACTTGTAGTAACAAATCATTGAATTTATTCTTTTCTGTGAGTTCATTCCATTATTGTCAAATGAGCTATGTCCAAATCTATTTTGCATATTTCAGTAATTCTCAGTCATTTTTCAAATACAGTGAGTATCAGCAATAACTATGATGTTTTGTTGAATTTTTGGTTTTATTTCAAATAACTTATATTCTTAAGTTTCATAACATAATTATGAAAAAAAAAAAAAAAAGTTTCATAGACAAAAAATAGTGGACAATATATGTCAATTCTATGTAGTTTGAGGATATTTCAATTCTATCTGTGTCTATATAAAGACACATGTAACTCATGAATGAGAATCTTCACATCTTCTATATATATAGAGAGAGTATACATCTCTTTCTCAACTGTAAGCAATAAACCTTTCTCCATGCCAAGCATGCTAGCAATCATATCCAACAGTCTCAGAGCAAGAAATCATTTATGATATATATATATATATATATATATATATATATAATATTTTGCTCTGAAATTTGTTATATTGAGTTTTAGAAATTGGATATGGAAATATTGTGTTTTGGAAATGTTTATGGATTGATGATAGTTCCAGAGGACCTTGAAGTTGAAAAGGACAACAGTTTCGAACTTTGATTTCAAGTGCATAGAGGCCATGAAAGTGAGTATCTTTTTTCCTCTTTTTTTCCTTCAATTCTAATGAAATAAAATATCTCTTTCTCTTGCTTTTTTATAGGCAAATCATAGTCTAATTTGATGGTAGTCGATTAATTAATTGCTAATGTTGCCGATGCTTACAATTTTTACCCACTTGTGTTTGTCTGGTAGCTGAGAAAACATCCAAGGCGGCAGAAAATTGGGTTTATAGTCTTTTTTTTCTTTTTTTTTTTCTTCTTTTTCTTATGTTCTTTCAGTGGCCACTGGCCAGCGAGAAGTTATTCATTGCAACCGTTGCAACGATGACGCAGTGCAACGGACGGCTACAAACACTTCACCAAAGCAAAGTGGACCTACAATACAACCAAAAAGCTGATATCTATGCTTTGGTGGAGTGTTTATAGTCGTCCGTTGCAACGGTTGCAATGAATAATTTCTCCTGGCTAGCTTGTCTTGGGGACTCCAAAGGTTTAATTTGTGGAAATTATTACATATAAAGATATATAGAGAGAGGAAAATGTTAGGAGTGCAAGAGCTCATTGTGAGAACACCCTCATCGTATGAGCCCATCCACTCACACACACACACACACACACACACACACACACATGACACATATATATATCACACAGAAACACAAAATTAATGTGGCTTTAGGTCATACGAAAACGACTTTGGCTAAACATTAACAAAGCTGAAAGTGACGTTGGTAATGTATAAAATAAGCTATCTTCATATGTCAAAAATATGAGAAGAATGGTAGATGGGATAGACAGTTTGTTATGAATTTTAAAATGATTTGGACAGGATTTGTGGTTGAGTAGATAAGATATGCTGAATTGGGAACTTTTTGTCTATGAAAAAGTGTTTACTGTCAGTCACTGAAAATTTTTCTTGCTTAATTGTTAGGATGACCTCTTTGTAAACTTTCTATCATTACTTTTAATTTTCTGTTTATGCTTATCTAATCTCTTGTGCAGATCATCTAATAGAAGAATTGTCCATATCATTATCTGGTCTACACAAAAGGTTCTCTTTACCTCCACATTTGAAATCTCTCTAAATTTATACATGCAAAATATGAAAAATGAAGCCAATTCATATTACAAACACAACCTATTGTTTTAATTGATTTTTAAACTGCATACCAGATTCATGACCTTTTAGACATGTATCACATGAATTGTCAATGTGACAACAAAACGAAAAGTAACTCAAAAGTAAACAAAGATGAAGATTTAATCAAGAACAAAGATCATCATACTAAACAGCTTGTTAATTTCCTAGCTCACTCACAAGAGCTTTAAGATTCATGTCCGAGGTTCCACCTTCCTTGACAGCTTCCCTTGCCAGTTCCTTCCATTTCTTGGCATTTCCCCTCATTTCTTTCCCTTCCTCTCCACCCCCCATCACCATTTCTATGCACCTCTTAAACTCTTCCCTCTCAACTATTCCTTCTTCATTTAATATCACCCTCACTGCCGTCTTCCAGACATCTGTGATCAGCTTTGCATTAGACCCCTGATCCGTCCACTGCGGAAATGCCACCATTGGAACCCCAGAAACCAAACTCTCCAGCGTAGAATTCCACCCGCAATGCGTCACAAAACATCCCAATGATGGGTGTGACAGGACCTCCACTTGAGAACACCATGGCACTATCATCCCTTGTTTTTCCAATTCCTCCATGCAACTTACTTCGTTTTCTATATTCTTACCATTTTGATCAGTTTTTCTTACAATCCACAAGAACGGCCTTTGGCTTTCCAACAACCCATGTGCCATCTCTTCCATTTGTTTCTTTGATAACACTGAAAAGCTTCCGAATGATAAATAAATGACAGAGGACTCTGGCTTTGAGTTCAACCATTCTACATACTCTGTTGACTTCTCAAACAAATCACCTCCAAATGAAGTATCAGATGGATCTTTTCCATCCAAAAATGCTGATGGGATTAAAGGCCCAATTGGAATCATGTTGAGCTTCTTGATGGCACGTAGGGCATCAGATTCCAATGTGTGGAATGTATTTACTAGTACTTGTGGATTTGTTTGGGCATCAAGTATCTCTATGTGCTTTTTGAATGTTGGGATTGCAAAATTGTAGGAGTCTGTAGGGAGTAGAAAGGAAGGAAGGTCACGGCGAGTGAGCAATGGAAGTCCTGGTAATTCAATGGGACAAAAGGGGTCACAGCTATTTCTGGTAATAACATCACCATACCCATTGAAGTAATAGTAGTAAATGTCCATAACAGTTGCTGGTTGGACCCAAAGAAGTGTGGATGGGATGTGAAAGTCATGTGCCACTTCTGCTACCCATGGGATAAATGTGGTGTAGACCACACGTGTGAAGGCGTGGCCTTCATCTGCTCTAGCATTGATGAGATTCACAACAGCTCGACAACTGTGAATACGGAATGCAGATGTGAAGTTCTCAATTGAATCATCTTCCAAGCCGTTGTCGTAGCCATCAGAGAAGGGGACGAGGGTTAAGGCTTGTGGGATTGCGGTGGTTTTGTTCATGCGCCGGATGGCAGAGAGGCTAGTGGCAAAGGTAACTTTGACACCCATTGCCACTAGGTTCTTGGCGAATTGGAGGGAAGGATTGATGAGGCCTTGTCCCGGGACAGTTACTAGAAGAATGTGGCCGCTGTCCATTCCGGTGGTGGTGGTGATGCAGGGGTTTTAATCAATGCAAACTGCAAAATGCTGTGTTTTTGAGTTGGCACGTCTTAGAAGTGACTTTATTTGCATATCTTGAGTTGCATGGCGATAGGGGTTTTATATAAGAATTTGAGATGGAATTTGGAGTTGTCTTTGCATTTTCAAGTGAATGGACATATACTTGCTAGGTTTTGTCTACAAGGCATGCACATATAAACCAACAAATTTTTAATGTTGGCCGGCTTGTGTTTTAGAGTTTTTTCTTTGCTGATGCTGATACGTAATCTGTTCTGTTTCCATATTGTTGGCTGAACGGTCAATAAAGTATAGACACAATGATAGGACAATTTTTTTTTTTTTAAATAAAGTAAGATACGAGCATGATAATTATATACTCATATATTTTACTAAACCCAATAAAACCTTTTTTTCTTAGTAATTGAGATCGAATTTATGAATCCTATTTTTGTTCCATTCAAAACCATAACTCTCTTAACGAGTGTTATTGAATCATTCATTACTAATTCTAACCGCCTTAACTTTGATATTTTTCTTCTAGTGTCTATACTTTGCGAGTAACAAGATTATCACTAGTAGATTTTATCTTTTAGTAATTTTACTAATGCCATGAATTAATTATTTTGCAGGGGCTTAAAGCAGAACAACACATCTCTCTTTTTTGTGAGCTGATGAAAACTATATAGATGTATAATCACAAGCAATATCCAACTCAAGGGTACACATATCTACTTTCTCATGAGGCTACATGACTCTCCTAGGTAAATTTATTGGGTTTCTACCTCCAAGTACTTGTTAGACAAAAAATATAAGATTTTTAAAAATAAAATATAACTCTAAAATAAAATTCTACTAAAGATAGGAAAATGATACATAATTCGCGACTCTCTAATATTTTTGTTCCACTAAAGCATTTAACATTGAAACTTTCTGCAACAATAAGAAATTTGTCATTACTCACCATTTGAGGCAAATATATTTCATTAACAAATTTCTTATCTTATGATTAGAAAGCAAGAAAGATGCACATTTCCATTATAAATTAATAAAAAGTGTCTATGCCCAGAAAGAATTTTTGCAAAATCAAGTCAATAAACCATAAAATAAAAAGGATAAAGAAGATAAGAGAGAGGAACTAGACTAGGACAAGAAAATCAATGGAATTGAATGATAATAGGTAACTTATGGTTAAAAATGACATCTCATTTTAGAAAGTTGTATACTAAAAGTTTCTTTTTTTTTTTTTAATAAGAATATAATATGATAGTGGAGTGAGAAAGTAAAACAAACAATATAAATAAAAGAATGAATTTGTAAAAATAAAAATTAACAAAATTGCAAAATTCAAGTGCTCGCAACTCTTGCCTCTCATTCAATTTAGAGATTCGTTCTCAGTATCTTCATTTTCTAATTACGTGGGTCTGTGTGAATGTTGGGGTTTGGGGTTTAGGATTTAGGGTTTTAGTTTAGGGTTTAGGGTTGACGATCCCAGAAACAAACACGCCTCCAAATGTTCTCTCTACGTCTACCCAATCCTTATTATATATATATATTATATAAATGAATATTATTATATTTTTGTCTAACATTTAAATAAATTATAACATATCTTTAAAATTTGGAATTAGGGTCAATCCCAATTAGGGAGACAATGTTTAGTTTATCTCATGGTAAAGATTGAATTGTGTTGGCATATATTGGATTGTGTTAGGATCCTGACCCAAAAAACTAAATAAGTGAGATAGTTGAAAATTTAATAAAATTTATTTCATATTAGTTGAGAACAGAACATATGCTAACTATTTGGTTAAGAATTTGTTTGAGAGTGTTTGCAGACAAAATAACACACACACACGCGCGCTAAAAAAATGACAATATTAATAATCCTAATTCATTTCTATTTATTGAATAAAAATTTCCCATTCCAGCCAAAATATTTCTCTCTTCATTATTTTCCCCGCCAAAGATTATTGGCGCCACGCCGCCACACATTCCCTTCTACAATCCTTCCTGCTAAAACACACACTCTCTCTCTATCAAAGAGACACACACCCACCCCCACTAAAACCCTAGTCTAAGAGCTCCAAAGCAGAAGAAAGCCAGGGAAGCAACCTTCACCATCCAATCCCTTCGTAGGCATATTCACTCGCAGCAAATCTCAGATATATCTATATCCGATGACACAAAGCTGTCTGATAGGACTGGAGAAGTGGAGAAATTTGATCTAGGGTTTTATTGTATGTATCAGAATTGGAACAATCAGAACCCTAATTTGCGACCAATGATGAATCATGAAGATAGGAAGCCGATGGAGATTGAAGAGAGACGGATTGGAAGAGGGGTTTACTTGCAAATCTAAGGAATTGCATCATGTAATGCAAAACAGGGAAGTGATGAATAAGGCATTGAATTATGTGTTCAGATGGCACCAGATGTGAATGAAAATGGGGAGTTAAGAGGAGAAAATGGGGAGATTTCATATCGAAGCGTTGCCAGAAACAAGCAAACGATTGATAGGAGAAATGACTCAATTTCTAAGAGTAAGTTGGTAATGAAACTCCACTCTCTCGAATTGTGAAATTTTCTTATTTCCATGAAGAACTTAATACAAATCGAAGTGATATGTACATTGCATCTTAGTGCTTAACTTTATTAGATCTTCGCATGTGTATATGCATTTTGTATCATAAGGCAGAAGACGGTCTCTATTATGTTTGACCATTTATGCTAGAAGAAAATACAAATCTGAATTGACTGTTATTAGTCTTTGTTAGTGTTGTAGAGAAATCAAATGAGGGAGTGGTCAAGTGGTATGGCAATAGGTTTTGGTCCCTTTCAAAAGAGCAGGTTAGAGTTATTGCTGGTCAGTGGAATAAAATCACAAACCAAAGATAATAGATGTTGGTATTTAATTTCTATAAAGTTGATAATATATATATATATATATATATATATATTAATAATAGTAGAAAATAGTAGATCAGGAAAGAAAGGAATATTAGGAACAAGAATAGTAGGAAAGATGTTGTATGACCATTATAAAGTTATAAACTAATAATTTCATTGCTCATCTTTATTTGACATGCGGCACATGCCAAATGCTAGATGCCACCAACAAAGAAAAAGTAAATCCAAATAAATAAATAAAAAGAGTGAAACAATCAAAAGCATGATCATTTCTTTCAGATACACCCTGCCATTTTCATTTTCACGAATAATGTTCACTTCTACCAACTAACAATGACCTCCAAGTCCGTCCACAAAAGCCTTCAGATTCATATCCAAGGATCCACCATTCTTCATAGCGTCCCGTGCCAATTCCCTCCATTTCTTTGCATTTCCTCTCATTTCTCTTCCCCTCTCTCCTCCTCCCACCACCACTTCTATACACCTCCTAACCTCTTTCCTGTCCACTATTCCTTCTTCATTTGCCACCACTCTCACCCCCATCTTCCAAACATCTTCAATAAGCTTTGAATTCGTCATTTGATCAGAAAACTGTGGAAACCCCACCATTGGAACTCCGAAAACCAAACTCTCCAACGAAGAATTCCACCCACAATGAGTCAAAAAACATCCCGATGATGGGTGTGATAGAACCTCCGCTTGAGAACACCATGGCACTATAAGTCCTTCTTGTTCCAATTCTTCTAAGCAACTCAATTTATCTTCTTCTCTCTCACCATTTTCTTTTTCTCTTATCACCCACATAAATGGCCTATGACTTTCCAACAAACCGCATGCAATCTCCTGCATTTGTTCCTTTGACAACGTGGCCATGCTTCCAAATGATACATAAACAACTGATGATTCGGGCTTTGAATTTAACCACTCAACATAACCATTTGATTGTTGAAAGAGGTCTCCTCTAAAGGAAGCATTAGAGGGGACTATCAATGGTCCTATTGGGATCAAATTGAGCTTCTCAATTGCTCTCAAGGCCTCTGGTTCTATTGCATCGAATGTGTTCACGAGTATTTTTGGGTTGGTTTCTGAACTAAGCATGTCTAGCAGCTCTTTATACAATGGGAGTCCCCAAATGTATTTGTCTTTGTGTGGAGGGACTAGAAAGGAAGGAAGGTCATGGCTAGCAAGCAATGGCAAACCTGGTAACTGAATAGAGCTTGAAGGGTCGTTGCCAATTTTTATAATGGCATCACCATAGCCGTTGAGGTAATGGTAGTGGATGTTGAAAACTGTGGCTGGTTGAATCCATAGAAGTGCAGATGGGATGTGATGGGCATTAGCAACTTCAGCAGCCCATGGTTGAACCATAGTGTAGACCAAACACGTTATTGGGGAGCCTTCTTCATCACTGGCCTTGATGAGTTCTACCATGGCTTTGGAACCGCGAATTCTGAGCTCAGACCGGAAATGTTCGTGGTTGTCCCCATCTTTGAACCCATCATCATAGCCATCGGAGAAGGCAGATAAGGATAAACCTTTTGGTATTGAGTTGTTGGATTTGGTCATGTGACGGTGAGCAGAGAGACTTGTGATAATGGTGACCTTAACACCCATTCGCGTTAGGTTCTTGGCGAATTGGATTGACGGATTGATGTGGCCTTGCGCCGGAAAAGTTAGAAGGAGAATGTGGCAATCCACCATAGTGAAGGAGAGAGAGATTTGATTAGATTACTCAATGCAAAAGGTTGTGAAAGACAGCAAGATCTTTAGAAAGATAAAGCGATTTTTTCTTTTGATGCACCTACTCTTTACCCTGCTTTGGCCATCAACTTGGTATACCTTGTTTGATAAGGTTATGACTTATTTTGCATAAAACTTGTGGTCTGAAGTCACTTTGGAATTTGGATGCAGTGCATATTGACTAGTCTGAGACATGGCACATTTTCTATTAAAACTTGGTTGCCAAGTCCTAGAGAACTTTGACCCTCAACCTGGTATACCCTGTTTGGTAAGATTATGACTTGGCTTGTTCAAGACTTGTGGTCTGAAGTGGCTTTGGAATTTGGATGTTGTTTTTGTTAGTATTGGCATTAAACTATTTAATTTATGACAGTAGTCAAATCACCTTCGGTTACTTGAGAGTAATCTCTAAAAAAATTAAGAAAAACAAATTAGATTTAGTTATCAACTATGGTAATAAGATTACTCGTAGTAACAAATCATTGAATTTCGTCTTTTCTGCGAGTTCATTCCATTATTGTCAAATCATCTAATTCCAAATCTATTTTGCATTTTTTGGTAATTCTGAGTCATTTTTTACGTACTTCGAGTTTCAGCAATGACTATAACATTTTGTTGAATTTTCAGTTTTATTAAAATAACTTATGTTCTTAAGTTTAATAACATAATTATGAAAGAAAAAAAAGTTTCACTAGCAAAAAATAGTGGACGACATATTTTGCTCTGAAATTTGGTATATTGAGTTTTAGAGATTGGTTATGGAATCTGATACGCAGAAGAAGAAATATTGTGTTTTGCAGATGTTTATGAAGTGATGATGGTTCCAAAGTGGCTTGAGGTTGAAAAGGACAACAGTTTCGAGCTTCGATTCCAGGTACGGAGAAGCCATGAAAGTGAGTAACTTTTTTTTTTTATCTTTTTTTCTTTGGTTCTAATAAAACAAAACATCTCTCTCTTGCCTTTTTATAGTGAAATCATATTCTAATTCGATGATAGTCGATTGATTTATTTTTAATGTTGCCAAATGCTTAAAAATATTTCCCACGTATTTGTCTTGTTGCTGAGGAAATATAGAAGGCGGCAGAAAATTGGGTTTATCATATTGTTTTTGTTTCCTCCTTTTTCTTATGTTTTCTCAGTGGCAAGCATGTCCCGAGGACTTCAAAGGTTTAATTTGTGGAAATTATTTTATATAAATATATATATATATAGGAAAATGTTTGGAGGGCTTGCTCAAAGTGAGCTCGCTTTATCATCCTTTGGATCCAGTGAATATGGGCACTAGCTCATTATGAGAACACCCTCATCATATGAGCTCATATATATATATATATATATATATATATATATATATATAAAAGAAACACAAAGTTAATGTGGCTTTAGGTCATATGAAAAGGACTTTGGCTAAACATTAGCAAAGTAGCAGAAAGTGATGTTGGTAATGTATAAAATAAGCTGTCTTCATATAGCAAAAAGATGAAAAGAATGGTAGATGGCATAGACAGTTTGGTATGAATTTTAAAATGATTCAGACAGGATTTGTGGTTGAGTAGATAACATACGGGGAACTTTTTCTCTATGGCAAAGTGTTTACTATAAATCACTGAATTTCCCTTGCTTTATTGTTAAGATGACCTCTTTGTAAACTTTCTATCATTAACTTTAATCTTCTGTTTATGCTTATCCAATCTCTTGTGCATCATCTGGTCTAACCAACATGGTTCTCTTTACCTCCTCGTTTGAAATCTCTCTATATTTATACATACAAAATATGAATAATGAAGCCAAATTCATATTACAAACACACCCTGGTGTTTTAATTTATTTAAAAGAAGCATACCATATACGTGACCTTTTAGACACGTATGACATGAACTGCATCTATGAAAGCAAAGCAAAAAGTAAATCAAAAGTGAACCAAATTGAAGATTTAATCAAGAACAAAGTTCATCCTACTAAAGAACTTGTTAATTTCCGAGCTCACTCACAAAAGCTTTAAGATTCATGTCCGAGGACCCACCTTCCTTGACAGCTTCCCTTGCCAGTTCCCTCCATTTCTTGGCATTTCCCCTCATTTCTTTCCCTTCCTCCCCCCCCCCCCCCCCCCCCCCTCCCCATTTCTATGCACCTCTTAAACTCCTCCCCCTCAACAATTCCTTCTTCATTTAATGTCACCCTCACTGCCGTCTTCCAAACATCTGTGAGCAGCTTTGCGTTGGTCCCCTGATCCGTCCAATGCAGAAGTGCCATTATTGGAACCCCAGAAACCAAACTCTCCAACGTAGAATTCCACCCGCAATGCATCAAAAAACATCCCAATGATGGGTGTGACAAAACGTCCACTTCAGAACACCATGGCACTATCATCCCTTGCTTTTTCCAATTCCTCCATGCAACTTGCTTCGTTTTCTATATTCTTACCATCTCTTATCAGTTTTTCATACCACCCACAAGAACTGCCTGTGTCTTTCCATCAACCCATGTTCCATCTCTTCCATTTGTTTCTTTGAGAACATCGAAATACTTCTGAAAATGACAGAGGACTCTGGCTTTGAGTTCAACCACTCTATATAGTTCGTCGACTTCTGAAACAGATCACCTCCAAATGAAGTATCAGATGGATCTTTTCCATCCAAAAATGCTGATGGGATTAAAGGCCCAATTGGAATCATGTTGAGCTTCTTGATAGCGTCAGATTCCAATGCGTGGAATGTTTTTACTAGTACTTGTGAATTTCTTTTGGGCATCAAGTATCTCCAAGAACTTTTCGAGTGAGCAATGGAAGTCACAGCTATTTTTTGTAATATCACCACCATACCCTTTGAAGTAATAGTAGTAAATGTCCATAACAGTTGCTGCTTGGACCAAAAAGTGGATGCGATGTGAAGGTCATGTGCCACGTAGACCACACGTGTAAAGGTGCCCTGCGCTCGCATTGATGTGAATACGGAGCGCAGACACAGCCATCAGAGAAGGGGGCGATGGTTTAGCCTTGTGGGGTTGGGTTTGGTTTTGTTCAACATTGTGGATGCTTTCTAATAACAAGATTATATCTTGTAATTTTTTTTTCTTTTATTAGCTTTACTAATGCTATGAATTAATTATTTTGCAGGACTACATTTCAAGGGCTTAAAGCAGAATAACACTCTCTCTTTTGTGATATATATATATACACAAGCAATATTGGAACACCCAGCTTTCCTATGTAAATTTATAGACTTTCATTGTGACTAAGTTTGACCATTCATGTTAAACGATGACAAATCTGAAATTGAACAACAATCCCATGTATTCAAAGGATAATTTTAACTGAAATTGATGAAAATTTAATAACAATATGAAGAAGGTGAATTTTTTCTACAGAACAATTTAATTAATTTTATAATTATTTAGAGTGAAATTGACCGCTATTAGTCTTTCTTACTGTCGAATAGGAATCAAAATGGGCGAGTGGTTAAGTGGTAGGGCAATAGACTTGTCACTATGTAAAGATGAAATGGCACAATGATAAAAGCATGTTGGTATTTGATTTCCAGAGAGATAAATAAAACAAGATAAAATAAATATTAATAGAGAGTAACAAATCAAAAAAGAAAGAAATAATATGAACAAGAAAAGTAGGAGAGATGTCACATTAATATTATAAAGTAATAGTTTTATTGCTTATGATTATAGAAATTGTATTAGATGTGTTAGTGATAAATTTAATAAGTGCTTTCTTTACATGAATTTGATTTTTTTTTTTTTAGAAAGCAATGAGGTATCACTTGGTTATAATTAGGGATGGCAAAAATTTTATATCCGGCGGGTTATCGTCTCATCCCGTCCTGTTTATGGCGGGTTTGGGACCCATTTATGTAAATGGGGAGGGGATGGAGATTATATCTGAAACCCCAGGGATGGGATGGGGGAGGGTAACCTCGCCCCGTTTATAATGCATTTTTACAAAATTGTTTTTACATGTTATAAAATATTACTGAATTACATGATTATATATATATAATATATTCACTTCTAAAAGTGAAATCCTAGATCTATTCCCTCGCAGCATAAAGAAAAAATATAATCGTTGTGCATCAAATATCTGATAATGTTTTAAATTGTTATAATTGTATTGAAACTTTATTAAATTATTAGGTTAAAAAATATTATGATTGTGTTAATTTTGTTGAAGGTGAATTGAAATTTAAAAAATGTTATGTGGGGCGGGGATGGGGGCTAATGTGGTGTGGCGGGGTGGGACGGCGATGGTGGAGGGGTTGAAAATTAAATGGGTATAGGGGCAAAGATGGGAGTAAAAAATTTGACCGAAAATGAGAAGGAGGAATGAGATTTCCGTCCCACCACCATTACCTCCCTTCGTTATAACTTAATGGTGAAGGCTTTCAGTATAAGAAATCTAAAAGGAATGGCCTAATAGTGAAGGCTTTCAATCCACATCGTGGAGTTCAAAAAATTCTGTTAGGGTATATTTGGCAAAAGTTTAATATACAAACATATGTTATGACTTGTCAATACTATAAGATAATATTTGACTTGAGTTTAATGTATCAAACATATCTTATTAATATTTTGCTTGTCAATCAAAAGATTTAGAAGCCAAAAAAAAAAACACACACAAAGAGATCAACATACAATTAAATAAAATAAATTAAGAGATAAAAGTGTGACATTTAGAGAGAAACTCAAATAACCTATGGTAAAAAATGGCAGCTCAAATTAGAAAGGTAAAAAATAGGGACGGGTGTTTAATTCGTGAATTTGTGAATTCAATTTAATTCGATTCGCACAAATTTATAATATTATATACACTATTTTTATTTTTTATTATTATTTCTAACCTTAAAGTCTTAAACACCTACTTTTACTCGTCATTTCAATTAACTATCTTTTATTTATTTATTTAAGTGGTGGGAGTGCTTTCAGCCTTATTGCTGCTTGCTCCGGATCAAACATGTATATCGTAAACCGTTAAACAGCCTCATTATGGCTTGTTGTCTATCAACTATTATTGGCTGTTCATGGAGTCATTGTTATTGTTTGTTATATTAATTAGATTGTTAAAATTTATCTATTAAGTCATGGTTGTGAACCTTTCTTAACGTTTCCTTAAGAGTCCGATTTTAAATTTTTAGTTTAAAAAAATTTAATTCGTAAAGTAGACCTGATCCAATCCCATTGGTGCCCGTCGCAAAGACTTGAGGAACTCAAAAAAAAAAAAAAAATCCCATAATTCTGAGGGACTCAAATTTATCAATGATGTCTAAGTGGTAGGGAAGCAAGAAAGTTAAACAAATAATATAAGATATAAATAAAAAAGAATTTTTTTAATAGTGATGTAATAACAAAATAGTGGAGTGAGAATGTGATGTTTCCTAATTTTTATTTATTTATTTAGTTATTTATTTATTTTATTGTATTGTCTTGTTGCTGTAATATATATAATGATGTGGGGATAGGATAGTCTTTTGGCATTGGAATGGCATAGAGGTGATTTAGGATAGTTTGGGAAGGCATTTAAGTCCAATTGCATGGTCACACATTTGACCACTTCTACACTTAGACACATGCACCACACTTGGCAGCTCTTTCTCATGCAAAGGACACCTATACACTAGATGGCAGCATTCCACTAACTCTTACGGACTCCTCCTGGGCAGCTAATCTCAATTTCTTCTTCTCTCTTTTTTCTCTCTTCTTCTCTTATTCTTTCCTCCATAAGAGCTTATTTTTGAAGCTTAATTTTGATAGCTTTCTAGAAAGATTTTAGGATTGCCATAAGAACATAAAATGTTCCTTGGAGAGAGGATTTTCCATTGATGTAAAAAAATCCACACCATTCCTTCATAGCTGAATTTTAAAATTACCTTGGAAGTGGGCCGTTGGTTGGTGCTTCAAAGAGGAAGTTACTCCTCTTTCTTTCTCCTTTCCATTGATGGTTCTAGTTAATCAATTAGAGGCTATTTTGTGGGTCTTAGCTTGAATTGAGGTAGGAGTTGTTCTAACTCTCACAACCTTTGTTTCTAGAGAATTAATCTCTCTAAATTGAACCTCCTTTCAAGCACGTTAAGTGTGATTCACAAATTGAAATTTCTAGCTCTTGTCATGGTGTGTAGTATGCACTATAAATTGAATTTTTGTTTCTCTAATGTTTGATATATCATATGTGTTGAAACTGAAAAATTAAAAGTGAAAAGCAGTACTCATAATTGTTGTAATGTACTTACTACAAAAACTGAAAATTTCATGCCTAGTGTACCTCAAATTTTGGGATTGTTTTACATGTTTAATAGTATATATATGCAAGTGCATGAATGTTTTTGAATTGCTATATGTATACTATGTTCACTTGTCTTGTGCGTGGTTGAGTTACTAGACCCCAAATGATGCTAAGGGGTTACCTTAGGTCAGGAATAGTGACCAATCCTCCTCTCGTGGCGCTGGGAAGTTACCTCGGGCCGGGTTACATTAACGGTTTGACGATTAAGGCGTTGGATGGAATTGTGGAACTGGGGAGTAGCATTGACATTTCATTCGCATTGCATTTCATTTCATTCATAGAATTGCATTGTAGAATAATTGTATCTCCCGGCAAACATGATCCCTCTTACTTATAGCTAGTCTTTGTGTGGATTCGCGGAAGTATTAAAGAGTGCGTTTTAGGCAACTTCTACTGAGCCATTGCGCTCACTTCATCATTATTATATTTTTTTTGGGTCATGGAAAGGAGGTTGTTGAAGACATCCCTCCGCAAGCTTAAATGGATTTGAACTATCACATATGACTTTTCTTTTGTATTACTATATATGTTATATCTATGTGGAATCTTGTATAGTTTGATCATGTAAGAGCAGTAGTACTTGTTTTAAAGGCCTGTAATTAATGTACTTTAAGGACTTATGTTTTGGGATGTATATATTCGAGGAAAATTATGAATGTTCATTTATAGCTTTTCAGTTTCATTTTCCATTCTATTGTGTGTACATTGAAATGTACACTTGGGACAAGTTTGGGGTGTTACAGAGAAAGTAGAACAATTAATACTTTTGCGGTAAAAAAAAAAAAAAAGAAAAAGAAAAAGAAAGTAAAACAAATACTAATATAAAAGCAAAATAAAAAATAATAATAAAAAAAAAAGCCCCACACCCTGGCTTCTCATTCATTTTCTAGTTATTCCAATAAAATTTTCCTTTCCCGCCGAAATATTTATAACTCCAGAACTTTTCCCGCCAAAACCCATTGGCGCCACGCATTCCCTTATACAAACCTTCCCGCGAAATCTCTCTCTCTATCAGACACACACCCCGCCGCTATCCCACTCAACCCCCCAGCGAAACCCTAGTTTCAGAGCTCCAAAGCAGAAGAAAGCCATGGAAGCAACTCTTCGCCCGAAGAAGCGGAAGCAACCTTCGCCCTCCGATCCCTTTGTAGGCATATTCACTCGCAGCAAATCTCAGATATACCTCCATTGCAATCGATCCGGCCAAGCTCGATCCGACTGCATCCTGAGACCGAACCATTTTACCGACTCCGAGAAGCCTCGTAGAAAACTCAGATCGTTCAACCAACAAGAAACCTCCCAAATCGATGACGACATGTCTCACATCGCGATCAAAGATCTGCGCTCCAGGAGGGTCTTCTCTCCGGCCTCGCTGATCGATGACTGTTGCGAGAAGCCATTCGAAAAACAAGTCGTTGGAAAGTTCGATTATACAAATCCTAATGACACAAAGCTGTCTGATAGCATGGGAGAAGTGGAGAAATTTGATCTAGCGTTTTCTGGTATGGATCAAAATTTGAACGATCAGAACCCTAATTTACATTCAACGGTGAATCGTGAAGATGGGAAGGTGATGGAGATTGGAGGAATAGACGAACTCGAAAAGGGGTTTACTTGCAAATCTGAGGATTTAGATGTGGCAAGCATTAAATTGCCTAGAACAGAGAGAGGAATTGAATCGTGTAATGTGAAACAGAGAATTGATGAAGAAGGCACTGAATTATGTGCTCAAACAGCATCGGCGGTGAATGAAAATGGGGGAGTTAGAGGAGAAAATGGTGAGATTTCAAATGGAAGTGTTGCCAGAAACAAGCGAAAGATCAATAGGAGAAATGACGCCATTTCTAAGAGTAAGCTGGTAATGAAATATCAATCTCTCAAATTGTGATTTTTAATTATTTCGATGAAGAACAATACACTGATATGTATTTCGCATTTTAGTGCTTTTTATAATTAAGGGTTGTATATGCATTTTTTAATGAGAAGACAGAAAATGGTCTATACTTATGTTAGTTAGCCTTTCAATTCTGTGATAGGTGTCACCTTCTGGGGAGATGGTATTCAAAACTCCAAGTTCATTCAGCTATAAAAGATTGCTACCGGTTCTTATGGATATTGCAAAAGAGAATTCTTGTAAGTCCTTTTGAATTTTTTATCTACCTCTTAATATTTTTTAACAAATTCTGAAATTGAATATTATTGTGCTACTAAATTGATGATGAGAGTAACTGAAAGCTAGTTGTTACTATAATGTATGTTTTTTTTTTCCTCTTAGGTGGTTCAAAAAATGTGAAATCTCTTTCAAGTAATTCAAAAGATAAGTACCCTAATTTGTCTTCAAAAGTGGATGATTGCATTTCCGGTAAGGAGGAGGATCTTGGTCGATATTGTGATGATGGAAAGACAGAAGACAGTGGCAAAATTAAGAAATTTTGTAGGGAATCGCCTTGTAAAGTTCGGGATTCAAATGTTACAAGTCCTAATATAATTCAAACTAAAGGGAATGTTATATTGCATAAGGTGGAGCAAAGAAGTTGGGAGGATGGTGAGAATTCAAATGGAGTTGAATTGATAGAAGAACGAATTGAGATGACGCCGCCAGATGCTGATATCTTCTGTAAACCTGAGGTGAATGATAACTTGGAAGACACAGAGGAAAATTATTTGCAAACAGAGGATGGTAATTTAGCGAAGCCAGCGAATGAGAGAGTCAGCATAAACGGTTTCTGTGTTGATCAGAGTTTGCATGCAGATGTTTATAGGAGGAACTACTCTACTTTGAAGAGTCAATTGGTGAGTAGATCAATCATTGAATCTTTTACATGAAGCATACTGTGGTTCATGAGATCAATTTATTTTCCATTAATTTTGGAAATGTTCCCTTTACGTTCTATGAGAAGACTGAAAATTATCTAGTACTAAAGTAAGTTGGCCATGTATTTCTGTTATAGGTTCTTAATCCTTGTTCAAGACTGAAGGTATTCAAAACTCCAGCCTCATTCAGCTACAGAAGATTGCTTCCATTTCTGATGGATGTCACAAAAGAAGATTCTTGTAATTCTTTTGATATACCTTATATATGTTCTAGTTCCTTAATTTATTGTATTTAAGGACTGTTGATTACTCCCTGGATGGGCACCCAAAATGTTCAGGAGCTAACCTTTACTAATTCCTTTCTTGTAGGTACCTCGAAAGGTAGTCAATGCCCAAAAGTTGACATTGTTGAGGAAAAGCCACACCTATGTCAAGAAACCCCCATAGATGCATGTAAAACAGACAGTTTTTCCATGGGGAATCAAACCTGTGATAAGGGGCCAAACCTGTCACCTACCATATTGGCTCCCACTGTAGGTTCATCTAATAATGAGCTAAACTTATTACTTGCTAAAAGGACTACTGAGATGCAGAATCCTGATTTTCAGAAGGAACGGATATTGCAAGTTGAACAGGTTAAATCAGATGCGCCCGAGAAATTGGAGCCTAACCATGATAAAGTGAGTTCAATTCATGAAACAACATCAACATCTATGTCGTTATGCTCTCCTTTCAGTCCTGTAACTTTGCCACGTGATGGTGTAGCAGAAGTCTCTCATTGTTTATCAATTATTACTAAAGAAAATGGCAAAGTATCACAGGTGGATTTTTCTAAAGATGCAATGCCAATTGAAGCAGTCAGATTGGATCAAAATTCTTCCCGAGCATTTGTTCCTTCTGGAGGTCTGGTCAATTGTCCTCCAAGGGGGATTCTTAAGAGGAATCCACGAGGATGCAGAGGGCTCTGCAACTGTCTGAACTGTGCTTCATTTCGTCTCCATGCTGACAGAGCATTTGAGTTCTCCAGAAATCAGATGCAAGATACTGAAGAGGTAGTTTTGGAGTTGATCAAGGAATTATCATACCTTCGGAATATTTTGGAGAAATCTGATGTTGATGGCAATGATCATGTTGTACACGTCAATCAGGTGAGTAATGAATGAACTGAATATGCATTTTTTTAGTATTTATTACTCTAGCTGTTTCATTGTATGATGTAATTGTTACTATTGCCTGTTCACCCTCTGCAAACTGAATTTGATATTTATGTACTTCTATTGCTTTATGTTCTGCAATTTAGGCATTTACTTTATCTCATGGCATGCTAATGACAACTTTTGATATGTATTGTGAAATAAGAACTAGAAATGTTAGTTAAGGAGAGGGCAATATTATGGTTTTCTCGTGATGATATTCTTATTTGTTTCTGTTCTTTCAATCCTTGAGTTACTTGTCAAAATCTACAGCCATCTTGTTCCAATTATTCTATATTTTCAATAGTGATTGGAATATGCCCTTCAAGCTTGTATAACTTCTGTATATCTCAGATGATATACATATTTGCATTAGTTATATTATGCAGCTTAATTTTTCAAACAGGCACTACAAACATACTGTAATCTAAATTCTACAATTGTAAAACTTTTTGAAGAAAATGTACTGTATTATAGTGGCAGATGAATTACTGAATGTAGAAGAACTAAAAGATGTCTTGATGGCAAGACAAGTTAGTTGAATGCTCTAGTTGTCACTAAATTTGGCTAATAGGCGCACATCCCTGTGGTGAGCCTAGGCCTTCAAGTTCATAATAAGATGAGTACTAAGATTCAAAGTTGGTAGGGACGGACCTAATGAATTGCCCCCCACTGAATTTTTTTTTATTTATAGTATTAATACTAGTGAATCTTTTTCTGAATTATATATGAAATTTTCATATCGCCCCCATGAAATTACAAAAAAAGTTCTGTTATTGCCCCCAACACAAATTCCTGGGTCTGTCCCTCAAAGTTGGCTTGCAGAGAGTGGGCCAATGTTGATATTTTTTTGTTCTGCATACATCATTTATGGTAATCCTAGCCATACATTAGTTTGTCATCTGTTTTATATCTATTTTCGAAAGTTTAGTTGGTTATTTGTTTGTTGCTCCATCAAATTGAGCAATTGATTGCAATTCTGGGTATGAGTGGACAAATTACCATCAGGATCATCAAAATATATTCTTAATTTATGACGGTGAAATTCTGGACTTTTCAGAAGGCTAGACCCTAGAGGCCAAGGGTTTGTCAGAAAGGAACAATTTCTTTCTATTAGGATGGGAATGAATGTCAGCGGTATCAAAACTCGTTTGAGAACTGCAATTGGATTATTGGAAGATGATAAGCATTGCATTATTTATAGTTTCCATCTTTTTTTTTTTTTTTTTTTTTTTGGCAAAGAACAATGAAATAATGTGTTAAATTAAAACTAATATTAGCCTTCTGGAAGGGCAAAAGTTCCTCTTATCTTTTTAGGGCAAAAAATCTCTTTTCTAATTGATCGGATTTGCACAAAAGTTCATCCCATGTTCAAGACAAAAATAAATATATTGATAAAAGAAGCATAGTAAGAGTAATTTATCTATTTATTTTATTTCAATTCATTTTTTTATTTGTTATTTTGAACTTCAGTCAAAGGAAGCTTGCATTAAAGCTTTGAAAGCAGAACAATTGGCAAAAGGTCGGCTTAGCGAAATGAACAGTGATCTGACTATACACTGCAGAAGCATGGTAAGTTATATTATATCCTCTATGCCATAGCAAGTTTTGTTAGCATAGATTTGTTCTTTCCATTTTAAGTTTTTCCGAGGCATTTAATATTATAATCCTACAAAAAGCATACACTACAATGTTCATATTATCTCCCAACAGTGTTTGCAGCGGCCAAAGGTCAGGTTTGCCGATTCTACTGAAGAAATAGTCATTCCAAAAGTAGATTTTCAAACCAGATAGTCTCAAAGGTAGTTATTGATGATTATAGTAAATATGTATATGTTCATGTCCACACCATGTTCTGACTGGTTCAAGATAAAAATTTGTTTTGGTTGCAGGATTGAAATCTGCTTCGAAATGAGACTCACCACACATGTAGCAGCACATGTGAATTATGAAGCTGCATTTCAAGCTATTTATATCCTACTCATGCTATTTATATCCTACTCATGAGAACAGGTGTAGCGGGAAATAACAAGATTTTAGACAGCTTTCCAATGTTGTTGAAGGATATGATAGTCCAAAACTAGGAGGGAAAATAATTTTTACAATGCTGCCATATTTACCAATTTTTATAGAATTGTTTATTTGTGTGCATATTTATGTTTTCATGGTGTGATTATATGTGGAATTCCTGCATCTGTTGAATTTGCTCTACTTTTTAATATGAATTCATAATTAAAGACGTGGAATATATTCATAATATTGAGCAATTTGAAAGAGAATTTTTGAAATAGTTTACAGGAGGTATGATCATTGATAAATTTGAGTAATTGTAACTAAAAGACTAATGAGTCAAACGAAAAGAAAATAAAATCATCATAATTACATGACCAGACGTTACGGTACATCACCATACTAAACCAATTGTCTTTATTGCTTTCATTATTGTTCTTCAGGGTGAGAGCTGTTGTGAATACTTGTTTCTTCAAAAGCCTTTTTTCTCTTTAATTCAATTATCCGAATTTCACCATCGGCATCATCATCAAAATCTTGATCATCATGAATTCTTTTTTGGACATAATTTGGTGATACTCCCAATATTTTTTTTAGGAGTGCTATCGCTCGCTCCTCATGCTCTTCCAACTTCTTTTCCTCTTCCCTTTCCTTTTTTTTCTCTTGGGGAAACTTCTGGACGACGCTCTGCGTATAGACCAGGAATTTGGATGGTTATGGGTAACAATTTCGACAATGAAACTACGTCAATGAAACAGAGGTGCAATCAATCAAATATAAAGAATGATACGAACCTTATTTGTAATCCTTGCGAGCTCTGATAATTGTCTACCAAGAAAAGTTCCAAAATTTAACTAACAAGAAATTACCATATATAGAAAATACCCAAACCTAATTATAACGGGAATTTGAGACTGCCGACCTACTAAGTAAGGAATAATTAGTATTCAATGCAAGAAAGTTGAAAAAGTACAACAAATTATTTGTTATATTTTGATGGTTAGTTATAGCAAATTTATAAAGAGAATGAATTTTTTACAATGAATTAGTTTCTCTTCCTCTCAAGTTTTTCAGATCTTGATTCATAATTTTTAGTAGACATATTTAATAGTAATACAAATAAAGATGGAGCAAGATGCTTGAAAGATATTGTTGAATGCCTCCAACAAATTATTCAATCCTTTTTCTTCATATTTTGTAGTTTTCTTTTAGCTTAAAAACAAAATACTTCTCCCAAAATATTATACTATGCCAAAATTATCAATGAACCTAGCGATTTTATATAATTTGACGCCTAAAATAAAAAGTATAAAATTAATCTTTTAATAATTAATATATTAATATCATAAAACAGTTAATAATTTTTCTTTAAAAATAACCTTTCTTGCTTTTAGATCACTAGGTGGGAAAGGAAATGAAAAAAGAAGTCACCCATCAGTTATGCTAAAGATGGATAATAAAAAAAGTCAAAATTCACCGAATCATGGTTATATTGGTAAAACCGTACAAATCCACGTGACTAGTGTATGTACCAATGTACATGATAAGCAAAACTTATCATAGCATGCAATTCTTCGCAATGAGAAATTATATGTGAAGAGTAAGATCACGAGCCTGCCTCACCAATTAATTAGATAAAATTACTACTAATTAAATTTAATCAAGGTATGGATAAAAATCTCAACGGAAGATAATCCATCACTACAAATCCATATAAATAAATAGTCTACTTTTCTTATATAATTTTTAAATAAAACACTTCACCAGTCCAATTTGAACTTAAAAAGATTGAAAAATAAAGAGAGAGATACAATGCTAGAGAGAAAAAAAAAATACTAAATGTTAGAGATATATAAAAATAAATAAAAAAAATTGTTGTTAGAGATATATATAAAAAATAAAAATAAAAAAAATTATTTTTTTAAAAAAATATAAGCTAATGTGCACATAAGACTCTATGAGATTAGTAATATATATATCCCTTTACCAGGTAGTTTAATCCACTACATACATACACACACACATATATATATATATATGGTATACAGTCCCATTCACTTACTCCCTAGTGTGCAGGGAGTAATATACGCGATTTCTATCTTAATTGTTAGATTTCATCCAATGACTGAAATTAAAAACTACTATATTATGTGTTTCTGGTTTTTTAAGACTTCAAAAACCACTCAATTTCAGTGTTCTAAATAAAATAAAATACCTTAATTGAGCTATTTAGATTGTATATATATGCAGGTTCAAAAAATATTAGTATCCTATTTTAGTGGGTATTAAGTCTTTTAATATGAGAGTGGGTTCATGGGAGTACACTCTACCCAAACTTAATTAAAATTATTATTATTTTATATATATATATACATATTTGTAATTTCTTATATTTAGTTTGTGGGACTTTTACTCACTGTGATAAGAGGTCCATCGCCATTGCTTACACGAGTGCAAAGTAGAAAACGCATGCTCAGTGAATGTAATTTTTCTTAGTGTTTACCATGTGTCAATTCAAAAATAAAACAATTAGATCTGATCAGACTAAAAAGAAAATCAAATGAAAACATTTGAAAAATTCCCAATTTGAAAACAAAAATAAAAAATATATATATGGAAAGAAGATATGAAAATCCCATTAAATACAATATGAAAATGAAGAAAATACTGTGCAAAAATTTGAGGTAAAGTAAGAATTTTATGCAAACAATTACTTTATATAAGGTTTATAAAGTAATAAACCTTACCACTTTCAACTTGTATAACCGAAGAATCACCAATCCTTTCGAAGTGAACGAAATAATAGAACTATCTGTTTATATTCAACAACTCCAGGACAAATGATCGCATATCGAACGATACGGCAAATCACGTGAATGAAACAAGCTATATATATATATATATATATATATATATATATATAAAAGGGTATAATTGTCTGCTATTAAAAGTTTTTTATTTGGACACTTTCGAAATTTCACGTGATACATGAGCATTACAAACAAATTTAAAAAATGTAGAACATGAATACATTAAAATATATAGGGTTAAGTGCAAAAAACACCCCTCAAATATGCATATAGTGCATATCACACCCCTCTGGTGCAAAAAACACCCCGCAAGTTTCAATTTGGTGCAATCAAGTCCCTCTGGCACATTTAAAACCAAACTTGACTAAAGTGCCCTTAGTTAACAATTTTATAAAATATATAAAAAAAAAAAACAAAATTTTGTGCAAAAGACCAAAAAGGACCCGGACTCGTTTTGTTCACCCAGAAACGGCATTGGTATATATTGGGTCAACCACCCCTCTTTTAAGGAGATTTGGTGATCATCTTTTGGATCTTTCTATTCATCTAGTTTGGACTGGGTTTGGAGGTTGGATTGGATTCTCTCTCTCTCTATTCATCCAGTTTTTTTGGGAAGGTAACAGTGACTTGTTTTGCTCACCCAGAAACCCCATGCGTCGCGGCCCCGGCGGGCAAGGAGAAGCTCGGCTGTGAGCGACGGCGAGTTCGGCTTTGATGATGGAGGCGGCAGCGAGCTCGGCTTTGATGGAGCGAGGGCAGAGAGGACGGACGGTGGTGAGAAGATGGGCTCAGCTGTGGAGAGCTCGGCCGTGGATGACTCGGCGGCGAGCTTGGCCGGTGGAATCGACGGCCGGCGAGCAAGGGAGGGCTCGGCGTCAAAATTTACCCGGGCATGACCAAGATTGTGGTCAGAGGCGGTGGCAATGGGGTTGAATTGTTATTGGATGAGCTGGTGGTGGATGCGTGGAGGTATTGACGTTGGCGAGGCCAGAGTTGGCCAGCGCTGTCAGTACTAACGGCGAGCTCGTCGTGACGGTGCCCAAGGATGGAAGGGAAATTGGAGACGGAGGAGAGCGCTGTCAGTGCTAACTTCCTTTTTTGTTGCCTGAAATGTGGGGTTTTTTTAATTTATTTTTTATTTTTTATTTTTATATATATTTTGCATTTTTTTGTTTTTGAACTGTGTTTTTATGGACAACTCCATGATTGTTCTTGAAACCTCAACTGGGAATGGTTTATCATTGCTAGTCGACTTCAGCTGGGTAGGCTCTGAAACAACATAAACTGAACATGTCAGAGGTTGTACCAAAGATTTGCGAAATGGGTATGGCTTTGAAAGGTTGAATTGGGTTGTGATGGTGGGTTTAGAGAGAGAAAGTGATGGTCTGGAGAAGTGGGCAGTGGGGAGGACTGAAGGTAGAAGATGGGTTGTGAGAGATTGGGTTTGTGGTGGAGAAGAAGAAGACGGTGGTGGGAGGAGCTGGCGGTGAGGGAAGAAAAAGTTGGTGGTGGGGTATTTTTGGAAGATTAAAAGGGCAAAATGGGTATTATATCAATAATTTATGTCAAATTTCTGACATAGGGATAATTTTGCACAATTTCAAAACATTAGGGGTGTTTATTACACACTTTTTCAATTAGACGTAAAAGCGCTACTAAAAATATACTTGAGGGGTGTTTACTGCACTTACTCCAAATATATATATATATATATATATATATATATATGTAATATAATAAAAATAATTATAATTTTTACTCATTTTATTCACACAAATCATGAATAAAATAACTAATTTAATTTAAAGATTAGGGTAGATATTTGTTATTTTTTTGTTTTCTTAAATTATTATTCTTCTAATTAATTCATAATATATTTTAAATCGTATTGAATCTCATCCTTTTAAAAAAAATATATATATATAGTTATAAGACTATTATGTTGTGTTTTGAATGTCCTTTTTATGTGTCTCAACTGTTTTAGTCGTGTCTAAGTAAAAATAAAATATAATTTTAGAATATTTATAGTTGTGGTTTGAAGTGTATGTGCATTTTAGATCTTCACAAATAAAAAGGGTAAAATGACATGTATAATTATTCTACATCTTAATTTATTATGTAATATCACTGAGTAGATGATAGGACGACTCTTCTTAAATAATAACAATTGAAGCTAATCTCTCAAAAAAAAATATAAATAAATACCAATTGGATTTCAAATTCTTTCCCTACTCGATCTTTGAAACTTAGAATTTTACCTATCAGGCATTTGGGAGTCCCTCTCATCTCTCTAAAGGGCTAAAAGGCTAAAATAAGATGATGGTCAAGTTTTGGTGCCAAAAAAAAAATTTGGTGAACAAGATTTCTTTAAGAATAAATCACTGAACCTCCATTTTGATACAATGAAAAATTAAGTACTAAAATTTTTATGTACTAAATTTAAAGCACTGAATGTATTAATTTAAAAACTTGTTTGGTAAGTGTTAATTTTAAGCGCTGAATTAATTAAGATTATTAAGATTGTTTAATAAGAACACTTTATTTTCTTTTTTATTTTATTATAATTTATGATAAATATTGATCATATGCTAATTTCTTTCACTCATGAATGTCCGGTCTATTTTCCAAGTGTTATGATTTAGGATTTTCTTTCTTTTTTCCTCCTCCTCCTCCTCCTCCTCCTCCTTTTTTTTTTTTTTTTTTTAAGTGTATTATGAATATCCACGCACTGCTTGATGAATGCTATAATACCCCGTATTTTATTAAAGAGTTTAGTTTATTTAAATTCATTTATGTGTGGATTTCTTTACCTATTATTGTGCATGCTACATTGTTATATTAAGTTCATTTAATGGTGCATGTAAATTAATTGTATATGTTAAAATAGTAAATTTATTCATTTAATTGTGCATGTATTATTATTAATAATTTTATTTGTTGATTATGTTTAATTAAGCATTATTAGTTAATTAAAGTATTATATTTATGTTATAAAGTATTATGATGATATAATGTATTCTTATGTAATAATAATAATAATTATAATAGTTATTAATAATAATAATAATATAATAATATTAATTATAATTGTTTATTAATAATAATAATAATAATAATAGTTATAAATCATAAGTCATGATGAAATTAGAGATTAGGATAGGATTTCATTAATATTTATAGGTAAGACTTGAAGCCATATGGTTGGGAATGTGGTGAGTTTAATATAAATTTAGATATTTGTAATATTTATATTATTTTAATTTGTATAAATATTAGTTAGTTTGCTGAGAAGGTAAGTTAGAAACCAATTTAAAATAGTAGAGAGTTGTGGTTAGAGGAAAGAAAAAGAAGAAAGGTGAGAGAGAAAGAAAGGAGTTTGGACCGGTGTAGGAGAAATTTACCCGACTACGCGCAACCGGCGGATTTATTTTAAATCCAAAAAAGGCAAGTTATTATCTACTTTTCCCCTTTGAATTAATAAATTAATTGTTTAGTTTATTTGTATGCATAGAGCCAAGGTTAGTAGATTAATAAATTATAAATTTTATCTTATTAAATTAATGAAATTTTAATTATATAGGATGGTATATATTTATTTAATATCCTATGAAATTAATAATGGCCGAAAATAATTAAATAAAGCTTTAGGGATTTTTCTAGAATTTTCTAGATTTTTCCGGGGCTTTTCTGCAATTTCCGGCGACCTTCCGGCGAGTTTTCCGGTCGCCGGCAATGGGGGAGATGACCGGAGTGATCCGGTGTGATGCGGCGCACCATAGGAGGGTATGCGCGCGCATCTGGACCATCAAACAGCAGCGATTGATCCGGTGCACCGCGGTCCATGTTACCGCAGTACACCCGGATCCGTGAGCGTTGGATGGAGGGAAGGTAGGTGGATTGATCCGGTGTGGCGCGCATGTAGGAAAGCTGATGCAGCCAACCAACCGGAGGACGCCACGTCAGCAGGAAGCCATCAACGCGCGCGTGGGAGCGCGTGCGCGCGCGTGGCTGATGCCAGACGCACGTGGGAGAGTGGGGAAGGTTGGGCTGCGCGTGGGGAAGCTTAGGGCGGCGCGTGGGGGCGCGTGAGGGGCCTTGTCAGCTGTTGAAAATTACCAGAATACCCCTAGGGCTTGTTTTGTAAATTCCAGAACCTTAAACTTGGATTTTTAGGTACTGCGTTGGTATTTACGGGTTTAACGGGCCACGAAATTATTATTTTAATACCCGTTAAGTATTATTATGGCCGATTAATATTTCTAAACCTTAATTGGCCCGTTTACCGTACGGATATGAATGTGATTCATTTGAACAACATTACTATAGGTGGTGTTATTATTTTATTAAATGGTATTCATTAGTACTGTTAATAATGTCACGGTTATCGTCATATAAGTTATCCATTAGATGTTATGGGATATTTATACTGTTAATCATATATCAACCATGATTATTATGCTGTGTGCATTTCAGGGAATAAATGAACTGTTTATTATGTCGCATTTATATTATATGGATGTGTTGCCATATAGAACCATGTGAGCTGGCTAATAAGTTTAGACTCATTTATACCTTATGCATTCGTTGCTATAGACAGATGTGTGGCTGTCGGGGTATGTGGTTTAATATTATTGGCATGTGTTGCCTAATTGACATGCTCAGTATGTTTAGTAATATTATTGGCATGTGTTGCCTAATTTATATGCTCAGTATATTCATCAGTACTTTGAGAGGTGTTATCACTGTGTAGTTCGTTATAGTCTGTGTTGTCAGTCTCGTGCACCATGTATAATAGCTTATTTCCCGGGTTGGGAAAGGCGACACTTAACCACCTAGTGTGAGTCTAAGTGATCACCGTCTATTCTGGTCGAGGTCATGTTATACATTGGATGGTTCCCTTAGGATGTATACAGATATAGTACTCATCCGGATATAAATGATTAATTTATTTGATTCTCTGATTTGGGTCATAGTAGAGAGGACTTGCTCGTGGGGTTGACCCACCATTGTTGTTATTTCAGGATACGGTCAGTACCCGTTCCAAGGTTGAGGTTAGCAGTGAGGGACCACCATCCGAACTCATCTACTCTTACGATCCAGTTCAGGGTAGAAGTTTTATGTATTACTTCAGTTTCAGTTTTTATTTACTTTTGACGTTGAACTCTCAGGGTTATATTTAGGGATCCTTGACATAGGATTTCCAAGTTGTAATGAAGTACTGTATTAAATAAAGGATGGATGGATGTTATATTATTTAGTGTTCCTTTCCTGTCTAAATTCTTTTATTATCATCATTTTGTATTCCATGCTTGTATATTGCCAATTGTTTTTGATATTCCTCGTTTTTCGTGTATAAGCCTAATCAACTTATGCGTGAAAAATGTGGGGGTGTTACAAATGCCTCAGCCAAAAATGGAACTATTTTTCGATATGTTTTGTGCGTCTTGTGTTTCCATAAATACGGATTTGTAAATTATTTAATATTGGTTGTCCTTTCTATTGTTTCTCATCACTATCATATTGCTGAATCTTTTAATACCTGTTAAATCAGTCCTAAATATTTAGATTGCTCACTCTTTCATGAGTAGTAATTCAGTTTTTAGAAGTTTCTTTTTTTTTGCTCCTGTAAATTACTTTGAAGACGGCTTAAATGGTCCAATTAGTCATTGCACTTGTGTAATTGTAGTCACAATTTAACTTACAGAATGTTTGCAGTAGTTGAATATTGCACTCGATTAATTGGATGCATAGGTTGAGGGCAAAATGGGCAAATGAATGCATTTCGATTAGGGTCGTATTTTATAATTACGATCCTACCATATGTCTTTTTTATTCCGTTAAAAATCAATTTTACGGTACATATGTGTATAACCTCCTCTTTATATTATGCGGTAATGATTTTTTTTGTATTACGATATTTAACGAAACGATGTTGTCCATAAATCAAATTATTTCATAGATTAGATTTCACTTGACTGTCTGCATCTCCATTTCGTATGCTCGGAGACTAATCGGAGCAGAAGTTTTGTATACATATATCTATTTAGATTTCATCACAATAGATTACTGTATTTCTTGAATATTTTACTCTATATTATTACATAATAAAATACATCCTGCAATAGTAATATGAATGGACTGTATTTTCAATTTAATTGATGCTAAAGTTATAGTATTATACTTCTAACAACAGTGATTGTGTTTGTAGGCTAATAGGCTTTGTACAGCACGTTTTTGAAAGAGCTAAGGTGTCCCACATTGGTTAAAGAAGCTAATTAATTGCGCTAATATATGTTTTGTTCGCGATCTACCATTGATCCTTTGGGACGTACGCTAAAATCGGAGCTTAACAGAGAAGATTAGCATAGCCCCGCGCAAGGATGACACGCACAAATCGAGAAAGTGGTCCAATTTTTTTATTGCCCATTTTGCCCTCAACCTATGCAACCGCTTTTACCAAAGCACATCATAATTCTTCGGTTTCCCACAGTACCCCTCCTTTCTTCCACGTGTCTTTTCATTCGCTTTGAGTGTCACCAGAAGCTTACCGTGGACCTCCCTCTAAAACTCCAACTTTTACTCTTTCATGTCTGCGTTCTCCAACCAATTTGTATAGAGTCTCTCACAATTTCACCCTCTTTCTCTCTCTATAAATACCACTATATCGACATATATATATATATATTATACAGGAGAGTAGATGGAGAGAGTGAGGAGAATGAAGTCTGACTCCGACATGATCGCCCTCATCCAACACCCCCATTAACTCCGGCGTCACCTTCCTCGACACCTACGACGTCCACCGTCGTTTCATCAACGAATTCCTCATCGCCAACGTACATTTAACACTTTTCACATTCATACGCTCAACTTACTGCAATTAACCCTAATTTTTCACCTAATTGATGAAATTAATTTGTGTTCGGTTGCAGCTTTTCCGATGACAAGATTCAAATTATCGGTGATTCGGTGCATGCCCGTCCGGACCACCAGCGAGGCTAGCTTGAAGCGGCTCGGCACTAGCATCCCTATCGAAGATCACGGTACAAAACACTTGGCTTTCTCTTTTGTATTATTAATGCAATTTATGATAAAGATTGATCATTTTTCATTTCTTTCACTGATACATATATGGGAATATGCAAATGAAAGTTAGCAAATTGTCTGTTTTCTGAATGTATTATTAGTGTCCACGCACTGCTTGATGAATGTCTCAGCCAAAAATTGCAAAGTTCATCAAAACACAACAAATAGGAAGGAAAAGTGCTACAAATTATTTTGAAACAAACAGAGTAAAGTTTGGCGGACTTTTTTACACTATTAAAAAGCACATCACACTTCGTAGAAGCATCAAAATATACAGCTTGCAAAGTCACAAAGCTGATTTGTTGACATTTGTCTCTGCTGTATTCTGTAGTTTTTCTGCAATATGTATTCATACATTTATATACAAATATGTGCATATACATGAATAACCACATATGACAAATATGTACATATATATTCTATTTATTCTATTCTTGTTCACAAGCCAGGCACTTGTGGAAAATACACCTTTTCTGAAAACCATGAAATATAGAACCCAACAAGTTTTAAAACACTACAAAATCATTACAGCATACATTGGTCTAGAGGAGGCAGAGTCATGCCCTTATTCACCTTTCCATGAAGACAATGGGGGTTTGTTCATTCGCCTTTCCACGAGGACATTGGGGGAGTGTTTGATTCCTTCCAAGTGATTGAAATGCCCCCAAATCTATCACCTTTAACAGCATCAACTGAAGCAATGGCTTCGAGTTCAGCCATTTCTTCCTTCGCTAGCTTCACGGATAGAGCACCAATGTTTTGGTTAAAGTTTTCAATCTTAGTGGTGCCGGATATGGGGCACACATCATTTCCTTGGTGATGGACCCAGGCCACTGTATATTTGAAATGAAAATTGTACCCATTATATATTTATGGTCCCATTTACCATTATAACATATGGAGAAAAATGTAAGGATAAAATTTAAATTTAAGTAAATTTTAAGCATAACATCAGGAAGCAATATTGAAGGATTTAAAATAAAATAAGGTAGAAGACGAATATGGTAGGAATACATAAATATATACTACGTATATATATAATATTATATAAAAATAATAATAATTTTCATTCATTTTATTCACACAAATCATGAATGAAATAACTAATTTGGAGATTAGGGTAGATATTTGTTTTTTTTTTGTTCTCTTAAATTATTATTATTCTTCTAATTAATCCATAATATATTTTTAAAATTGTATTGAAGCCCATTCTTCTAAAAAAAATTAAGTTACAAAACCACCTTGCTATGTCTTGAAACTGTCCAAAACATATTTTTTCGTATCCATGCCGTGTCTCAGCTGTCTTGGCCACGTACAAGGAAAAAATATATATTTAAAATGTCAAGACACTTCTAATATTTCCAAGTCTTCACAAAGAAAAAGTTAAATAGATAATTTCACAATTACACTTCATTTATGACACCTACAATTATTTTATATGTTAATTTATTATGTGTATCACTGGAGTCGTTAGCTTAGATGATATGTCTCTTCTTAAATAATAACTATTGGAGTTAAGCAAATTATAAGTGGAGTAATAATTTACAAGGGAGCTAGAGCCAAACAAGAAATTGGCACAAGCTAACCAAGCCGAAAGACAAACAAAGAGAAACCCATTACAACCAGCCCAAAACTAGGCAGCCCAGCCCATTTAACAAGACAGTATCAAATAGCCATTGCTAACACATGTCTATTTTCTAAGTGTGTTGTGAATGTCCATGTACTGTTTGATGAATGATGTCTCAGCCAAAAATGCAACTGTTTTCAATATGTTCATGAAAAGACAAGAAATAGGAAGGAAAAATACTAGATCATTTTGAAACAAACAGAGTTTAAGTTTAGCCGTTGTTGAGCTACGTGCTAGTTATCTGTCTTAATGTTCTCAATCTCTTATGTTTCCATAAATACGAATTTGTAAATTATTTACTATTGGCTTTTCCTTCTATTGTTTCTTATCAGTCCTAAGTCACATAAAATGGGAGCGGAAGCGACAATTTAAGTCAAACAAAGTGAGACTAGAAGCGAGAGCGCGTGTGAAACATGAGAGTGGGAGCGTGCTGGAAGCGTGAGACCGACACCCATTGAGAAGAATTCTTTGACTTAGGTTATCACTATCATATTGCGTTGATTTTTTTAATACCTTATAAATCAGTTCTATATATTTAGATTACTCTTTCATGAATAATTCATTTCTTAGAAGGTTTTTTATTTTACATCTGTAAATTACTTAGAAGGCGTCTTAAATGGTCTAATTTAGTCATTGTACTTGTGTAATTATAGTCACAGTTTTGTGCGATCACACTAAAAATATGCTGTTTTTGTATGGTATGACCATATGATCATCTTGTGTCCATGACTCTACCCGTGGTCGCAAGTGAAAAACCCCATAGATTCATGTAAAACAGAATGTTTTTCCGTGGAGAATCAAACCTGTGATAAGGGGCCAAATCTGTCACCTGCCATATTGGCTCCCACCGTTGGTTCATCTAGTAATGAGCTAAACTTATTACTTGCTAAAAGGACTACTGAGATGCAGAGTCCTGATTTTCAGAAGGAACGGATATTAGTTGAACAGGTTAAATCAGATGCACTCGAGAAATTGGAGCCTAACCATGATAAAATGAGTTCGATTCATGAAACAACATCAACATCTATGTCGTTATGCTCTCCTTTCAATCCTGTAACTTTGCCATGAGATGGTGTATCAGAAGCCTCTCATTGTTTATCAATTATTACTAAAGAAAATGACAAAGTATCACAGGCAGATTTTTCTAAGGATGCAATGCCAATTGAAGCAGTCAGATTGGATCAAAATTCTTCCCAAGCATTTGTTCCTTCCAGAGTTCTGGTCAATTGTCCTCCAAAGGGGATTCTTAAGAGGAATCCACGTGGATGCAGAGGACTCTGCAACTGTCTGAACTGTGCTTCGATTCGTCTGCATGCTGACAGAGCATTTGAGTTCTCCTGAAATCAGATGCAAGATACTGAAGAGGTAGTTTTGCAGTTGATTGAGGAATTATCACACCTTCAGAATATTTTTGAAGAAATCTGATATTGATGGCAATGATCATATTGTACACATCAATCAGGTTAGTAATGAATGAACTGAATATACATTTTTTAGTATTTATTGCTCTACCTGTTTCATTTGTATGATGTAATTATTACTATTGCCTGTTCACCCTCTGCAAACTCAATTTGATATTTATGTACATCTGTTGCTTTTTGTTCTGCAATTTAGGAATTTACACTATCTTATGACATGCTACTGACAACTTTTGATATGTATTGTGAAATAAGAACTAGAAATGTTAGTTAAGGAGAGGGCGATTTTATGGTTTTCTGATGATAATATTCTCATGTGTTTCTGTTCTTTCAATCCTTGAGATACTTGTCAGAATCTACAGCCATCTTGTTCCAATTATTCTGTATTTTCAATAGTGATTGGAATATGCCCTTCAAGCTTGCATAACTTCTATTTATCTCAGATGATGTACATATTTGCATTAGTTATATTATGCAGCTTAATTTTTCAAACAGGCACTACAAACATACTGTAATCTGAATTCTACAATTGTAAAACTTTCTGAAGAAAGTGTGCTGTATTATAGTGGCAGATGAATTACTGAATGTAAAAGAACTAAAAGATGTCTTGATGGCAAGACAAGTTAGTTGAATGCTATGGTTGTCACTAAATTTGGCTAACAGGCGCACATCACTGTGGTGAGCCTAGGCCTTCAAGTTCATAATAAGATGAGTATTAAGATTCAAAGTTGGTAGGGACGGACCTAATGAATTGCCCCCACTGAATTTTTTTTATTTATAGTATTAATACTAGTGAATTTTCTTTTTCTGAATTATATATGAAATTTTCATTTTGCCCCCATGAAATTACAAAAAAAAAAAAAAAAAAAAAAAAAAAAAAAAAAATCTGTTATTGCTCCCAACACAAATTCCTGGGTCTGTCCCTCAAAGTTGGCTTGCAGAGAGTGGGCCAATGTTGATATTTTTTTTGTTCTGCATACATCATTTATGGTAGTCCTGACCACACATTTGTTTGTCATCTATTTTATATCTATTTTCGAAAGTTTAGTTGGTTATTTGTTTGTTGCTCCATCAAATTGAGCAATTGATTGCAGTTCTGGGTATGAAGTGGACCAATTTCCATCAGGGGTCATCAAAATATATTCTTAATTTATGATGGTGAAATTCTGGAATTTTCAGAAGGCTAGTCCCTGGAGGCCAAGGATCTATCAGAAAGGAACAATTTCTTTCTATTAGGACGGGAATGAATGTCAGCGGTAACAAACTCATTTGAGAACTGCAATTGGATTATTGGAATTACATTCTTTATAGTTTCCATCGTATCTTTCTAGGGCAAAAATTCTCTTTTCTAATTGATCTGATTTGCAGAAAAATCCATCCCATGTTCAAGACAAAAATAAATATATTGATAAAGAACCACAGTAAAAGTAATTTATCTATTTATTTTATTTCATTTCTATTTTTTTTTTTTTTTGGTTATTTTGAACTTCAATCAAACGAAGCTTGCATTAAATCTTTCAAAGCAGAACAATTGGCAAAAGGTCGGCTCAGCGAAATAAACAGTGATCTGACTATACACTGCAGAAGTATGGTAAGTTATATTACATACACTATGCTATAGCAAGTTTTGTTAGCATAGATTTGTTCTTTTCATTTTAAGTTTTTCCAGAGGCATTTAATATTATAATCCTGCAAAAAGCATACACTACAATGTTCATATGATCTCCTAACAGTGTTTGCAGCGGCCAAAGGTCAGGTTTGCCGACTCTACTGAAGAAATAATCACGTTCCAAAAGTGGATTTTCAAACCAGATAGTCTGAAAGAATGATAAGAAGCTAGCAGGCAAAGGTAGTTATTGATGATTATAGCAAATATGTAAATGTTCATGTTCTGTGTGGATGTAGATCTTAGATAAAAATCTATTTTGGCTGCAGGGTGAGTTGCAGTATTGAAATCTGCCTCGAAAATGGACTTACCACACATGTAGCAGCACATATGAATTATGAAGCTGCATTTCAAGCTATTTATATCATTTCAAGCTATTTATATCCTACTGAGAATAGGTGTAGCCGAAAATAACAAGATTTTAGAGAGCTATTCAATGTTGTTGAAGGATATGATAGTCCAAAACTAGGAGAGAAAATAATTTTTACAATGCCAGCCATATTTACCAATTTTTATGGAATTGTTTATTTGTGTGAATATTTATGTTTTCATGGTGATTATTTATGGAATTCCTCCATCTGTTGAATCTGCTCTACTTTTTTAACATGTATTTTTTTTTTTTTTTTCCTACTTGGTACTCACACACACATGCCTCCACCGAGATTTGGATTCCTTACCTCCCTTTGGAAAGTAGAGCCTGGTACCATTACGCCACTGATTTGTTAGTAAAGACATTGAATATATAGTATTGAGCATTTGAAAGAGAAAATTTTAGTGAGACTGATTTGAAATAGTTTGTAGGAGGTATGATCATTGATAAATTTGTGTAGTTGTAGCTAAAAGATTGATGACTCAAACAAAAAGAAGATAAAATCATCATAATTACGTGACCAGACACTGCAATTACATAACCAAATGTTGCAATGCAGCACCAAACTAAACTAATCTAATCGTCTTCATTGCTTTCATTCTTTTCTTGCCCTTAAAGAGTAAACTTTTCTAGGAAACCTAACTGATGAAGATCGAGTTCGTCTTCGTCCTAATTTTTCTTCGGGGTGAGAGTTGTTGTGAATACCTGTTTCTTCAGAAACTTTTTTCCTCTTTAAATCAATGATCCAAATTTCACCATGGGCATCATCATCAAGATCTTGACCATCATGGATTCTTTTTTAGGCATAATTTGGTAATGCTGCAAATATTATTTTTAGGAGAGCTATCGTTTGCTCCTCCTGCTCTTCCAACTTCTTTTCCTCTTCCCTTTCCTTTTCTCTTTCCTTCTCATAATGATCTGAAAGCTAAGGGTTCGGGTCCAAGTTCTGCGCCTGACTGTATTACGGTGGCTGAAGTTCTAGGGTTTCTCGCCAACACAATCTCAACAGAGCATTTGCTGCATTTGAAGGAGAACCTATATGTTTTGATATTGTCGTCAAGCACAACTTCATTGTGGGAATTCAACTTGGTGCCTCTGTTGATGTAGTTGCCGCAGGTCCTGCAATGAACGCTAGCTAATGGGCATCATCATCGTCATCGGTGAAGAATCTAATTCCATGAAACTAATTCAAATTTATTCTCTCTCATAACATCATTCTGCTGCGACAATGAAACTAAGTCTCAATCAAATATAAAGAATGATGTGAGCTCTGATACTTGTCTAACAATAAATCCTTATCTGTTGGGAAGGAATTAGGATTCAAAATCCTTGCGAGCTCTGATAATTGTCTAACGAGAAATCCTTTTGTTCCAAAACTTAACTAACAAGAAATCACCATATATATAAAATACCCAAACCTAATTATAATAGGAATTTAACACTGATCTACTAAATAAGGGATAATTAAAAGACTAAACTACCCATTTACAAATATTTCTGACACAACCGAATGTCTTTCTCCACTATTGCATTTTGTTCAAATACTTGATTAATAATGCTATGGTTGTCACAAAAAATTGGCATGCAGTGAGTGGGGCAATGTTTATTTTTTATTTTTTTATTTTTTATTTTTTTTAAAAAAAATTTGCATACTTGATCTATGGTATTCCTAACGGAACATCATGTTTAAGACAGATGGAAAAGTTCATCTTGTATCTTATCTGCACAAAAAGTTCATCTTATGTTTAACATAAGTTCAGGTGGAGTGTTATTTTTACTTACTACTAATTCTAAGTTTATAGTAGGATTTTCTTAGGCTGATTGTAGAGACTACCATAAGGAACCAAGAAAATGTGGTGATTTTTTGAGAATATAGGGTTGACAAAGAGGCTACCTCAAATGCAGTTTTTGCTAATAAACAAAAACACCAAAGTGGAATATCTCTTATACACAAATTATTACATGGTCACGGATAAAAAATTACCAATCAACACACAAGCAAGTGTGTAAGTTTTATGTCAGCTTTATTTCACTTTTTTGTTTACATGTCAATTGATGATTGACCGGGACCATTACCATGTAATAACTGGATGGGTACTTATGCATATTTGATGAAATGTTCAAGGTGAAAATTTGGATAGCAGTATTAAATCTTTTGACCACATTTACTCTTAAAATACTTGAGATGAGATTTTTTTTTTTTTAAACGCACACACGAACACTCAACCTCCTTGAAGAGATGAGTAATGCCCATTGGTTGAATGTGTTATGTGTAATAAATAAATAAATAAATAAGTGTCATGGTTTTAAGATTAAATAAACATTTGACAATATCCATGTCCAAGAAGCCTTAGGCCCAACAATTAGGCAAGTAGATATGAAGACAATGGATTTATTTGTAGATTGTAGATATGAAAGACAAAGGAGAGAATTAAAACAGAGTCTAGATTGTGAATGTAACAAGACATTTGATTATTTTGACAAGGAAATTAACACCACCAAGCTCACAAGTTGAGTAAACAGATTTGGTACATTACTCAAAAAAACTAACAAGATGAAAATAATTTAATTTATTTTATTTGACATCAACTACCAGGCCAACCGAAGCTTGAATGCAAAGAGAAAAATAAAGAATCTTCACCCATTCACTATATTATACAAACACCACTTGAAATTGTGTCTTCTAGAGAAACCTTGGTCGCTTACACTCTGGAGGAACACCTTGAGGGAAGCGTTTTAAATCACTGCAGTAATTGTAGATCATGAAATTCTTCTGAACCCATCTCAATCTTCTCCGGCCGTAGTCATCGAGTTCTTGCGTCTGCCACCCTCCATTTGAGAGTGCTGAACTAGAAGAGGTGCCATGAGTGCAAGATCCAGCACAGGTTTGGGCGTTGAAGTTCCGGTAGTACGCTGTGAAAGGTGCTTTCGACCAGTCAGTTTTCACTAACCCGCCTCTCGTGGCCCAATCATCAGCATTCCACAAGCTAGAGTAAATCCTCATAGGTTGGTTCTTGGGGAAGGGAACACCAATTGATTCAGCATTCTTGAATAGTCTTATGGGAGTGTTGTCAACCAAGAAACTGAACACAGAAAGCAAGTTGCAATATATTAGTTATTGTTTAAGACATGACTAGAGGGGAGTCCCCAGGTACACTCTCCGAGTGAGATTAATCTCCTCTGGTGAGACTAATCCCTTCTGATACGTAAAAAGCCTCAATGTCACGTACCAAAGGGAATCGAACTCGAGCATTTAATGTAAATATATATTGATACTAGCATTCCCCCATTCAAATTTTGGTTTATTTAGGTTATAGTAAGAATAGAAAGTGATGTGCGTGTGTGTGTGTATATATATATTGTCTTACATGATGTGTTGGGGTTTCCAGATGACGGAGTAGGTGTGGAAGTTTCTTGTGGGGTCAAACCAGAGATAGAATTGTTGCTCCCTGCCCCCTTTCCCTTGAGTGAACACATTGGTGTGGAGGATATAAGGATCTCCACTAAGGTTGCCCAAGAACTCAAAGTCAATCTCATCATGAGTAGGTCCTTGAGAGGACAACTGCAACACAAACAATACCAATTGTTTTATAAGAAAAAATAATTCTATTATTTTTAATGTCAATGATATATTGAAAGAAGTTTCAACCAAGAATCAATTCAAGTCAATTTCAAAATAAACTCTATTTAAATGTTAACGGTCCATGTTAAGGGACTTTTAAATATGATTTCATGGTAAACTTTTATGCTAAGATAAAAAGTAAGTCTACTTTATGGTGAACGAGTCATAAATAGAAAGTAACAGAACTAGTATGTGAAAGTTGGCACAAACCCTGTACTTATTCGTGTACGTTAGTCTAATATATACGCAAATGGTCATTGCTTAGTACTCCAACGATAAAAAAAAATTTAAATGTACCGACACGCGTGATATGTTAGGCGCAAATCAATGATACGTATATATTATGTAATTTTTTTTTTTTTTGGTTGGCACCGCATACATATTACTCCGTATGTAACTTAGTAACTCTTTGTCACATCAAAAATAGGTCATGTATTAGATTTACTTAGGGACAAATTTTTCTGAGTAGAAATTAATTATATCTCGTTACATAAATAAAAAAGTATATTTATATATTTTAGTAAGTCATAATACGTGTCATTATTTAGTTGATAAGTAATTCCGTGTATTCATTATTCTCGACGAGTTAAAGTTTTATTCCTTATTCCCTTATAAAAATGCAAAAGCTTCCGCACTTCATGCATGAATATAGTAGTATAAATTTTTTTTTTCATAATGTCACTTTCACTTTTTTTTTTCACCCATAAAAAGATGTCTAGAGTAGGCCACGAGGAATAATGCTAGTGCATAATAAAGACTTAATATTTCCCAATAAAGTTGATATTCAAACACATATTCTTAGTTGATCAAATACAATAATTTGAATTAATAAGTAAAGGCTAAAGATGAGAGAGTTGGAAATAAACATACGTAGTAGGCAGTAACAGTGCCAGCAGAGTTTCCAGCAACAAGCTTGAGCTGCATATCAATCCTCCCAAACAGATACTCTCTCTTGGACTTGAATCCAGAGCCAGAGGTCTGGTCTAGAGAGAGAGACAGAAGCTGCCCTCCATTGAAAATTTTGGCGCGATGGTCACCCCATGTCAAGTCAAAATCTTGATAGAAGTTACCAGCACCAGAGACAACCATCAAAGAGCTCACTGCCAGAGCAACAAACAAAACCATTGAAAATGCCATTTTAGAGAGAGAGAGAGAGAAAGAGAGATTGCTTGAGGTGAGTGGGTTATGGGTTTTAGAGAGGTATATGAGTATATATATATATATAGAGGGACAGAGGTGGGGGAGATGGGTGGTATTAAAGAAAGAGGAAAATGCTTGTGAAGGAGAGAGAGAGAGAGAGAGTGTGTGTGTGTGTGTGTGTGTGAGAGAGAGAGAGAGAGAGAGTTGTGAGTGAGAGGCAAGGTAAAGGCTGGTGACAGCTGATCAATAGATGAAAGCTGTAAAGTTTTGTTTGGGCACTGGATGGTTTGGAATTTTTGGTTTTTTGTTTGCAATGATGATTGTGTGTCCTAAAGGATTGAAGGGTATGGCCTTCCTTGGGGGAGGGTATGATTGATTGGGCCATATCAGTGAATGACAGCCAGCTCATTTACGGACAAAATATATTTAAGTGGGTTTGGTTCATGGGATCAACGGATATGGATGGTGTTGCTTTCAAGATGTGCCATCTGGCAACATTCATAGTCCAGGTCATCACCACTCCTTCACTTGCTCACTTTTTTTAGCTTCATAATTTAGTACTATATATGTTCTTCATTTTTTATTATTATTATTTTTTTAATATTTGAAGGTAAGTTAGATACTTATTATTTTCTCTTTTGCACTCAAATATTTGAATTTTCACACGAAAGTAAGGTTATATACATTTAACATTCTTAGTATTCTAGAATGACAGAAATTTTGGGTATTGATGTAACTCTTATACATTCTTCAAAGAGTAAAACTTTCAAGAAAGCTAGAATAAAAAAAAAGTATATCCAGACAATCTTTAATGAGTCATGATATGTTTTAATTAATCATTGAATTGATATAATTTTTTTAATCTTTTAATAAATTTCTAAATCTAATAATTAACAAGGATTAACCATACCAATGAGAGAGTCTCTTGATAGTATTACCTTATCGATGTTTTAAAAATATTCTGGAAACTAGTTTTTTATAGACTTTATTGAGTGAGTGTTGTTTATCATTTTTGGTTTCTTTTTTCAAAGCTTAATTTTTAAAATTGATATAAAATATGCCTTTGAAATGAATTGTCAGAGTTCACATTCTCATAAAAAGTGTATGAGTTTCTTATCAATAAAAAAAAATAAAAAATTCATAAGATTACCAATGACCAACTAGTCCTGTGATTTTTTTTTTTTTTTTGACAATAGTCCAAAGTATAACCTCTCTTCCTTCTGTATGAATAATATGTATGTGAATAATATGTATGTGAGTACACTTACTTAAACCAAAATAAATAAATAAATCACACAATTGATATTAACTCTCTTTTCTTTTTTTCTTTTGGAAAAGTACTAATATTTTCTAGTTTGAATATCTTTGAAATTCAAGATACTTCTTCTATCTGATTTTTATTTATTTTATTTTGATTTGTCTTATGCTCCATAATTTATGGTTAAATTTTTGTACTAATAAGAAGTGACTAAGGCAATGGAAGTAGGAAAAGGAGGGGCCCACAAAGGCATATTAAGTGGGTGAGAATGGGCCGAGCTACCAACCCAAAGTTGGGAGCGCGGTGCCATAACTTTTTATTTAAGTGGGCCTACTACTCGATTCATGAATGTGTGTTTTAAAGATTCCCTTTATCAATTGGGCTCACTTAGGACGCGTGACATCAATCATTACATACTATAACACCTCCAATAATGCCATCGTCCTACACACACAAATACACACATATGTGTGTTTTTATGTCTACTACCATAAAAAATCTGTATTAGCACTTCAAAACAAAACTGCCATACACTGCACGTAATAGTAAAAGACTATAAGGTCAGGGCCTAGTATGAGTAGTTTGTTTGGAAGGCAATAAAACATCTATTTCGGTGCCATCCTGTATCCCTCTTTATGTCCTTTTATTTTATTTTTATCTTCAGAGAGTATTCAGGGCTTTGCCCCTACTTAGTGCCAGAACACCGTGCGAAGCAAATTACGAGAAAAACTTTTTTTTGCCCCCGTTGCACTGTTTCTCATCGCACGGATACGTATATTACACTAATAATTCGAATGCGCCCGTTACACAATGCAACGGGCATAAAAACGGATAAAAAAAAGTTCACGGTATGTGTGTGTTTCTATGCAATGTCATAATGCTCTGAACAGTATAATAAAAGGTGAGGGTCACAGGGTGTACTACAAGTTTGTGTTTGTAGCGGCAAGAAAAACATCTCTTTCGGTGCCATTCTTTGCCCTGTGTCATTTCATATTTTGTTTGTTTCTATTCAATTCCCTGGTTTGTTTCTATTCAATTCCCTGGTGTAGAGGGTTTTCATCTACTATTATTGGACTTAAGAATTTTTTTCCCCCAATTCCTGACCAAATAACGTACTCACTTCAGAAAAAAGTCACAATCCGGATCCGGATAAGCTACAAGGTGGTGTAGAGAAACTACGTCTATCACTGCACAATATATCTTCCAATCCGTGATAGAAATTTTGAATATCGGAGTATATCCAGCTGGCACTCTTCTATTATAAGAATGTTTCGCAAGTTTGAAATGTAAAAGAGATACCACACACTATAGTCAAAAAAAGATTATATATTGAGACTCCAAAACTGACAATCTTTTTACTACTTACAATCGAATTTTTCTAGAGTACAAAACTACGAATGATTGGGCAATTCAAGCTAAAACCAATTTTAAAACATTAACTCAAATAAAAAAGCTAAATAAATTATTCACATTCAATTTGTTATTCAATTTGTGTAGTGCATAGATAAATTTAGTTTGTGATCAGAACTAATTGCTGAACCAATGCATGTAACATGAAAAAACACAACACACGAAATGAAAAAACACGAAAAATGAAAACATGAAAAACCAAATAAACAAATGAGACCATATGAAACATCCAAAAAGCGGGAAAAAATAACAAGTAACAAGAAATAAAATTCATGTACCAAACCTTAAATTCGAAGAGATTGAATTGAATACAAGTAACATGCAAAACATGATTGGATGCCCTAAATGCCAGGTAACAAATACCTCTGTCCCATCTTCAACAAAACCTGTCCTGAGCTATTCATGAAGGTCACATGAAATCATGTCTTGCCATTATGCTCTATTCAGGTACACAAACACAAGTTATGCAGGTACATTTCAGGTTTTTAAATTTTCGCTTCGGTGCGAAATGAAGACAAAAACCGAACAGAAAAACAAAAACAAAATGTTGCAAATCCGATTTTTGGCTACCCAAGGTTCATGGTCATAATACAACTAAGCTCTTCGATGACTATTTCTTCCAAACAATAAACACATACAAAATGCAGTTCAAAATCACACAGTTGTGTTCCTACAAATTTTCTCCTCCACTTCCTGAGCAAAATTATAAATTGATAAGGTTCTGTTTGTTGGAAGCAAAACATTTCTTATCCAAGTATATAATTACATATTAAACTACAATGACTATGTACTGTAATTGTAAAAATATATTTAGTTTTCATGCTAAAACAAAAGAACAAGAAAAAATATCAAGCCTTCCTTTTAGGAATCTTTCCTATATAATGGCAGTAGAAATGACATCAATTGATAAACAGTTCAGAAAACAACTCTTCAATGTCATATCTTTGACAATAATCAGAAAAACAGGTTAACAAACAAACAAACAAAAAATGGGTATGAGTGCAAAAAAAATCTCTTTTGGTGCCATTCTGAAGCTTCCTTTATGTCCTTTCATGTTTGTTTCTTTTTCTTCAATTCCCTGCTATATAAGGTGTTTATCTACCATTATTGAAGGTTTGAAAAAAAATTTCCCCCATTCTTTCTTCGACTCCTGACAAATAACATACTACACTTTACCCCTACGAAAACTTGCACCGTCAACCTTTCATCTTGGAAGTTAGAAAACCACACACTCTTAAGGAAGATTTTTTATAACACCACCGATCTACTTTTGTATTGCTGACTTTGAGTTTTAACTCCCAAACCCTAAGTCAAAGTTTCGAGACGGATAGAAAGAAGAAAAAAATACTATATCTAAGTCCAAGTCTACCACACAAAAAATAACTAAATCTTTCTAATTCTTAAACAAATATGATTTTTCTTCTTGAATTGAAACTAATTCTTAAACGTTAACTCAAATAGAAACTAAGAAACACAAAACGAAAGAGATTATTCACACTCAATTTGTGTAGTGCATTGATAAATTAGTTTGTGATAAGAAATCATTCCTTGGCAAAACAAGGTTAGACAAAAATATAAATATATTAAAAGACTTTCGGGAAGTTTATGTTTCACTATCTAATGCTTCAATGTAGGATTTGTCGGAGAACAGTATATACAAACACAAAATGGACTCATCAGATACTCAAACTTGTCACAAGTTTGTATCAAGTCCAGTATTCATTACAATCAACACATATTTCTGCAATGCATAAATACACATATACATTACAATATGAAAAGAATTGAGAAGACTTATTACACGTATTCTCGTTCTACAATAATTATTGCTTTACAAGAATCCAACAAAAAAAGAAAAGGCTTCCACCGAAAATACAAGAATTCAACACAAAAAGAAAAGGCTTCTACCAAAAATACAAGATTACAAAAAAGGTAAAAATATTTCGAATATTGTAACACGTTAACACATTAAAATCTTAATTTGAGCTAATTTTTCTTACACATTCTACTTGTTTTTTTTACTGTAGTCATATTATTAACACTTGAGTTTACTTTGGTGAATGTACTTGGTAGATTGGGAACAGAGTCATTCATTGCTATTTGTGTTCCTTTGGTATGTGCAAGTCATGGTACAAAGCTACTCTAAATCCTCTTTGCTGGCATCACATTGAATTTCCGGAATTCTCAGGCTCTTTCTCAGCAAGATTTTTGCCTCGAAATTGTTGGCGGATGTTTCATTGTCTTCGTTACCTTTTCTTTATAATACCCTTAGGGGCAGGTCCAAGCAATCGCGGGCCCTTTTAGGGCATCCATTTTAGCCTTTTAGGGGATACATAGTGCCCCTAAATGTATTATATATCTTATATATAGAAAATGAGAAACAAATGAGCAAGGGTACTCACCTAAGAAGAAGAAAAGAAAAAAGAAAAAAAAAATTATGAAATAAATATATAGAAGTGGGCGTTTAAAATTGTAATATCAAATGGTAGTCGACAATTTTTCTTAGGTCCAAATATGGTCAC